TTGTGCGTGATGCGTAGATAGGTTTCTGGGAGATTTATCAACTTATATTAGGTAGTTGACGTGTTTTGAATTTTGTATAAGACAAATTCTGTTGTAGACTGTAGATATTTGCTCAGTGGAGTGCATTTGGATGAAGTGATACGCTGAATCTGTAGTTCGAGAGTTGCTTATTAATCTATTATGTTATTGTTTACTACATTCGGTATGAAATTACATGGAATATTCGAAGCAGTAATCGAAGCCTGAACAGAGGGGCCAGGCCGGCTTTCTCATGCATGCCAAATTTGTTTATACGAGAATTAATAACTAATCTTTGTTAATTGAACACAAATGGTAAACACTAGCCAATCATTTACATTTCGTTAATCGTAACTTCGATTTAACGAGCAATTACGCAAACATCTTCCTCCAACTTGTTAGTCTTACCATAAAGCAAGTTAACAGCATGAAGTTTGCCCGTTTTAATTAAGTCTAATGTTGGGCAAATAGGCTGAAAATTTTTGCGAGATGTTACGGTTAAAAGCCAACGAGGATTTTGGCATATTGTGGCGATGATCGAAGTTGCGCCGTATTGCTTACTTTATTGCTGCGTTTGTGTTTGATACGTTTTGGGGCTATCGGGTTATAGGAGCTCAGTTTTTATTTTGATTTTATATTTTGCAATAACAGACTAAACACCGGAAATAAATACGAAAATGATTATGATAAAAGGGCCGATACTTTTTTTGGGTTGTTAAAGTTTTCGTTAGGAGCTTGCAAAGATACAAAGCTGGGATTTGACTGTAAGCACCGCGTGTTTCTGACATGTGATGGCGACACCTGTAAGTTGTGGATATGTGTTGATATAAAAGACCCTTTGCATTTTAGGAATAAATAAAATTTATCGCGTTTCCTCACTTACACTTAAACATAAAATTTAATTCAAGACTACAAATCTCACATACAGGGTGGAACAATTAATCACAATCAAATTTTGCAATGATTTTGCTGTTTTACTAATGTTTATGCAAATTTATTTTGACGCAAACAAATGAAAAACGCAACCACATTAATAATTTATTCCTGACAAGCTAACATGCAATAAAAAATATGAACATCTGTTACCTATCATGAGAAATGTTTTTGTTTTATGTTTAAATGAAAATTGATGTTTGTTTTTTTTTTTGGAGTGCGTACTATGAGCGACGTAATCACAACGAATGTTAGATCGTTAGGATTCTAAATTTACTAAAATGTTAAAAACGTAATCATAATCTATGTCAGAGGGTGAGCTTGGATTATCCCATATTGTTGGAAAACTAATCTTTTCTGAGTTTTCCACTTTTCACGTTTTAGTTTAGCATAGGTGTATAATTGGTTACATGAACGGATTTTCTAATAAATGAAAATTTGTCATAAAGTTAGGAAAATCCGGTGAAGGCCGTTTTTGTCACGTCCACCTGTGGTTCTTGATAAGAGACCAACAACGTGTCACTACACAAAATGAGTTATTTCATTGAACTATTCGAAAATATTGTTCTATTTGTTGTTAGTTGAAATAGTTTGTTGCAATGAACTCGAAAGATAGTATTGATTTTGAATTCTAACACGAATTTTTTAGTAGGATAATAATAATTTTGTATGAAAAATTGATAAAATACGGAATATTCGATCAGAAAGACTATTGGCTAAAGCTTTAGGGATAATGTTGAAATTTTTAGTGAAATATTACAAACGAGTACCATAATCGATAAATATTTATGTGCAAAGTATGAAGGTTTGAGAGTTGTTTTGGACTGATCATTATTTATATTAGAGTGAATAAATAACGTAGTTTTGATGATTTATATTAATAATAAATTAATTGCTTATATTTGATAATTAATTAAAATGTGACATTAAAACGTTTTTGTTTTCACAAGGTGGTGCCAAATAAAAGTGTGTGTAGTGCGCATAAAATAAATATTTGTTTAAATAATAAATGAAATGTGTGTACGAGTCTGTAGTTTTTATTTAACTAATAAATGAAATTACATGTAAGTGTCCATTTGTAAATAATGGCTAATAATATAAACCCGTTGAAATTTAAATTGAATTTAATAATTCAATGCACACTTCAGAAACGTTTTTCAATAGTGGCACGGGTGATCCTTTGGGAAATTTTCGAATATTCCTCGGGGCAAGTCCAGCCCTGAACGATTCCGAGACCACGCAACTAGTCTACGGACTGTTACAACCCACACCCCACAAGATCACATCACCACCTATTTTTGACCAAAATTTTTAGGGCCCGCTGAAACAATCGATCTTTGTCAGGTTGGGGATTAAATGCGGTTGTGATTATGGGGGAAATCAACAAATGCACAGGAAATAAAGCAAGTGGAATGACACGATAAAGCTTCCTTTGCGTTTGCGAGCCTTTAGTAACCAGTACGCACAGTTCGTTGTTTATGTTATTAACGCCGGACCATTCATCCTAGCTCTAGACAGATACAGAGCTTAATAAAAGAGTAAGCAACCACCGTAAAGGAATAAAACGTCACCAAGAGGAAAACGCGCAGAGGAGAGCAATTTCAAACATATTGCATTATATTGTGGACGGTATAGCTGGTATAGTATCGCACCCGAGGGCCTCCAGCGTAATTGATCGCGGAATTTGACACCAACTTTTAAAATTCCTGGCCTAGAAAACCGGTCCTTATTATTATAAGTTTATTACGAATTCAATGAGGGGAACAGGCACGGTGCAATTTTTTCTTTTTATATAAATTTCGGCCAGTGTGACAGTTACGTCCACTTGACTTGCCTGTTTCGTACTAGGTTGAGCCTGTAGCAGTCCCGACTTAATAAGAATAGGTTAACGACAACGGTAGTTTCATGGAAAATGAACTTGAACGCGTTTCGTGTAGCAGTTTATTTCATGCTTAGAGTTTACAATAAAGTTGAGTGATGATGAGAAATGCGAACATTTTTCGCCGTTGTCAAGTAGCGCAAAGCCGTTCAGGCGTTCAGGGTAGTGTATAAAGCCGCAATATATTTCCTATTTCCAAGATGTTTTTCTATGTCCTTCAAGGATGCTTCATCATATCATAAATCAGGATTAACCTTGGAACCACCATGGAGACACGCGACTACCCCATGTACCATCACCTCAACCATACCCGCCAACGTTCCATTTCCCCTCAAAGTTGCAAAAATGTCAACCCAATTTATTAACCCACAACATTTATAGTCACTCGATATAAACATCAATAATGTATTGAAACCTAAATTTGTAAGCAACCGTATTAATTTTTTTTAATTAAAACTTTGTTTTAACAGTATCTAATGCAAGTTGTAAATTGTGCAAACTGTGATCTTATCAGCAAAATATTCGCCGATTTTATCTTTATTTTGTCCAAAAATAATCTTTTTAGGACGATATTCTTATTACAACAAAGCATGATACGTTTATGACATTTCTTTATACAGGGTAGTCTCATAAAAAGTCAAAAAATTGAATTTTTACAAAATATGGTCTAGTGCTATATATTTTCTAGTTATTTTCTCAATAATAAATAAAAAATTGCTGCATAGTAATAAGCAGTGGCGCAGCGAGAACAAAATCAGGCATTGGTAATAAAACTAAAACTATACAACCAAGTTAAACATTAGAATTTTGTTTACAATTATTTGTTGTTATAACTTTAGAACATTAAAAAAAATTTACTTTTCTAATTTTGTAATTGTTAAACTGTATCTCAAACGTTATAATGTTTTTTATGCATACATATGTAACATATGTTCCGAGAAATCCGAGAAAAGTGCAAAATTCTTGATCGTTTAGAAGTTATAGTTGAATTAACATTTTTGACTTTATCAGCAATTTTCTCGATAATTATTTAAGGTAGGACAATTATTTTTTTATATGATAAAAAATTAAATTTGCTTTTCAACGGTACCAAACGTAAAGAACTGGCATCAATAATTCCGAAGTTATTAGCAATAAACTGCTCCGGGTACCAAAAATCGCCCAAAATTTCGACAAAAATTGAAAAAATTGGAAACTTCAAAATTAGAATTTGTACTCTTGGAGGTTCAAGAGACTTAGATAAGTACAAAAACGTTGCAAAAATGCAAGAAATAAGTTTTGAAAATTTTTTGTGTAAGTCTGTATGAATATATTGAATTAAAACATTGACACTGTCGGACGGCGTAGTGGCTCAGCGGCATAAGGTCCCGCTTTCCAGCAGGTAGGTCCGGGTTCGATCCCGGTAAAAAAAAAAAGCAGCAATTTTTCACAAATTTAAATTCAAATATTAACTTAAATAAGCAATAAAAGATGGCTGTCGATAACAGATAAGAATAAGAGAGAACGAGAGAGTAAGAACGCAAAAAATTTAAGAAAGGGACAGAGCATAAGAACAAATAAGTCAACAAAAACATATCAAAAAGAAAACGCATAAAAAAGCATAAGAGCTTTTTTCTCTTCGATGTCACAATACGATGCGACTTTTTAATTACAGAAACAAAATTCTTTTTGTGACAATGTTTTTAAAAGCATTTTATGCTACATTTTTACAATCACTGATTATGCTTACTGTGAGAAATTGTTGTAAATCAATGTATTTCCTCGTCTATTTTGAAATGAAGTTTTAATAAGTGCCCAATTTTTTTTACATAGGTAAGCCGGTAAACCCCCTTAAACTCTGTCTCTGGCTGCGCCACAGATAAATAAGTAAGATCCTTTTGGCCAAATCTTTTTTGAACTGCCACTACTAGATTATATCTTGATCTATTGATGGACAATCAATCACAAGAGTCACTTGACACTATCTTATTTTATTTACGTTTGCATTTAGAAAACAATATACGTTGCACAACGTTCATGGTTGGATACACGTACTTGATGATATTTTTTGGGGCTTTTGACACTAAAAAATATGCAACGCAACTCTGCCATGTCATTAAAAAATCAAACGCTGACTCTTGATGTCGTTAGCCTAGTTAAAAATATATCATATGTGTATGAATCACTAATGCAAAATCTAGCTTGCAAAATTAAGATAAGATACTTGTCTAAACTATAAAAGGGCTCAAAAACGCCAATGATGCAATTGCATCAACAATGCTTACAATGAAGTTCCACATCTTGTGCATTTTTCTTTGTGTTTGTGCTAAAACATTTTCGTTTAAAACCCCAATTCATCCTTTGTATACCGTCGATAGGACTAAAAACTTTGGGTATGTTTCACTTCTTGTTAAATTTTGTCTAAATCCATTTTAGTGATTCAAGCGAATATGATACTTGTGGTTTAACCCCTCCGGAGTGTGACTCCAAGTATAAATATCGTTCTTTTGACGGTTCATGCAATAATTTAAAACACCCGGTATGGGGAATGTTGTCATCAGCTTTTGCTCGTGTTTTTCCTCCTCGGTATAGTGATAACAAAGAGTTACCTCCTGTGGCAAGTGATGGAGGAGAGTTACCCAATGCTAGACATATCGTCACTACTGTTTTTGACGACAAGGACGTACCTGATACTATATCACTAATTGTAGCCCAATGGGCACAATTTATTGCCCACGATTTTGCCGTCGGTGTTCCCAAAAGTAGCAAAACTACAAATTCTGCTATTAAGACACTAATTGGGGTTTTTTAGCCGGAGTTGATGATTGTTGTGCCTCAGATGATCCTCTTGTGTGTTTATCTATTCCAATTCCTGAAGACGACCCTTTCTACTCACAATATAATAAAACTTGTTTAAGTATGACACGGACTCAAACGACTTTGACCGGGGATTGTGATCCTGAAGCGCCAAAACAACAAGTAATTGTCATTTTGCTTAAAAATGGTTGAAAACTACAAAATTGTAGATTAATGGCGTCACTCATGGTCTTGATGGGTCCCAAATTTATGGATCTGATTCTGAAACTGCATCTTCTTTGCGGGAACATAAAGGTGGTCGAATGTTAGTACGACAAAAACCCGATGGTCGCTGTTTTCTGCCGTCAAAAGGGACGTGTTATAATTCAGATGTGTGCTATGTTGCAGGTTGTTTCTTCTATTATTTTTGCAAAAGAATAATATTGCTTTCAGGAGAGGCTCGTGTCAACCAAAATACTCAATTGACAGTTATGCATACTATGCTAGTGAGGGAACATAACAGAATCGCTGATATTTTAGCCAGCATTCACCCAGAATGGGATGACGAAACTATATACCAAGAAACTCGAAGTATTGTCATAGCTGAATATCTCCATATCACATATAATCACTTTCTACCAAATATACTAAGTGAAAATTTTATGACTAAAAACGAACTCAGGTCGAGGAGTCAAGGATATCACAAATACGACGAAGAAATCCCTAATATTGTTCTTATAAGTTTCAGTAATCCCGCTTTTAGGATTTTCCATTCCGGCCTACAAGGAGTGATAGGGTAAAATTGTCACAAAAGTGTTACTATTTGTGCAATTCTTGATTTTAGTCTATACAACTATCATTTAGACCCAACTTCACATATTAACCTAACGGATTATATGAATTCTCCCGGAATTTTGGAAGAAGAAAACCACTTTGACGAATTAATTTTGGGAGTAATTACCCAACCCATGCAAACGATTGACTCTTTCTACACATCTCAGATAGAAGAGAAGTTATTCCATTTTGGTAAACCCTACGGTACTGACTTGAACGCTCTCGACATCCAAAGAGCAAGAGATCATGCAGTCCCGGGTTACCCAACGGTTCTGTACGGTTGCAGAGGAATCGAAGTTAAGAATTTTGACGATTTGGCCGACATCTGGCCCAAAAAGCACATAGAAACTGTCCGTAACGTCTACAAGTCAGTTGACGATATCGACCTTTTTGTTGGCGTTAACTTTGAAAATAAACCAGAAGGACACAGAATGAGCCCGGTTTTGGAGTGTCTAATCGGAGAACAATTCTATAGATGGAAAAACGGTGACCGGTTTTGGTACGAAGTCGAAAACCAACCGCATTCATTCACTCCAGGTGAATTTTCAAACTTGTGTTATTTAAAACTGACAGAATTTTTAGCACAACTTAATGAAATACGAAAGGCGACGCTTTCGCGCCTTGTTTGTGACACTAGTGACTATATACTGAACGTAACAGTAAATGCATGGAACCCACCAGGAGACAAGTATTTAAAAAAAAAAGTTTTTGAGTTTTTATTTGTATTTTTTGTTTCAGTAATCCGATTGTTCCATGCGTAAGCGTCCCATCAATTGATCTCACAAAATGGCTGTAAATGTACTATATTTTATAATTATGAATAAATGATATTAAAAAAACTTAGTTTTTATTTTAAATTAACCGCGTTTAAAATAATTAATTTACTGTCTACACCACTGTTCTAAAATCAATAAAAATTTATTAGTTTATCAAAATTCTATAAATTTTAATTTAACTGTTTTTAATTATTATTTGAGACGCTATTAATTGTGATATTTGATTTATAATATAATTAAATGTGTGATTTTTAGGTACGCCACTGTCATCTGTCAACAGTGTCAATAGTTTTAAAAATTAAAGCTGTCAGTTTGTATAAGAACAACTGGACAAAAAACTCATTTTTAACATAATTAAAGGTGAAAAAACTTCGATTTGAGAACCTAAGACCATGTCTGACGCCGAGGACGATTTTATGTGCGAAGATGAGGAGGATTATGGACTGGTAGGTGTTACCTAACCTCAAACTCTGGAAAAAATTAAAACATTTTTGTACTATTTATAACATTTATTTTGTATTTTGCTTATATTTGGTGCTAAAATATTGGAATTTGTTTTTTTTAGGAATATTCAGAGGATAGTAATTCAGAACCGGATGTTGATCTGGAAAATCAGTACTACAATAGCAAATCTCTGAAGGAAGAAGAACCCAAAGCCGCACTAGCCTCTTTTCAAAAAGTATTAGACCTAGAAAGTGGGGAGAAGGGGGAGTGGGGCTTTAAAGCCCTCAAACAAATGATTAAAATTAATTTTAAACTGGTACGTAATGCCCCATTTAGTATTTATTGTTACATTATTTTTGATTTAAGGGTAATTTTGAGGAAATGATGACGCGCTATAAGCAATTACTGACTTATATAAAAAGTGCCGTCACAAGAAATCATAGCGAAAAATCAATCAACTCTATTTTAGACTACATCTCAACGTCAAAAAATGTCAGTAGTTTATAGTAATGAAATGAGTGATTTAATGAGTTTTTTTTAGATGGAACTGTTACAAAACTTTTATGAAACTACTCTAGAAGCTCTCAAGGACGCTAAAAATGACAGATTATGGTTTAAAACAAACACTAAATTAGGGAAACTTTATTACGACCGCGGCGATTTTAACAAACTGGCAAAAATTTTAAAACAGTTGCATCAGTCTTGCCAAACTGATGACGGTGAAGATGACTTAAAAAAGGGAACGCAACTGTTAGAAATCTACGCTTTAGAAATCCAAATGTACACAGCGCAGAAAAACAATAAGAAACTGAAAACTTTGTATGAACAATCGCTTCATATTAAATCAGCAATACCTCATCCACTTATCATGGGCGTTATAAGAGGTGAAAACGGTTTTTTCATTGCGTAAAAATAACATCTTTTTTAGAATGTGGCGGCAAAATGCATCTACGCGAGGACGAGTTTGAAAAAGCTCATACTGACTTTTTTGAAGCTTTTAAAAACTACGACGAGTCAGGCAGCCCCAGAAGAACCACTTGTTTGAAATATCTTGTTCTTGCTAACATGTAAAAATCTTGGTGTGGTTGTGCCATTATACAATTGTTTTTTTCAGGCTAATGAAATCAGGGATTAACCCGTTTGATTCTCAGGAAGCTAAACCTTACAAAAATGATCCGGAAATTCTTGCAATGACAAATTTAGTAAACGCTTATCAAACCAATGATATCAATGAATTTGAGTCGATCTTGAAACAGAACAGACAGAATATTATGGATGATCCTTTTATTAGAGAACATATTGAAGGTTGTTATGTTCCCAACAAATTTTTTTTCTACAAGTTTTTTTACAGATTTGTTACGCAACATCCGGACCCAAGTTCTGATTAAGCTAATTAAACCATACACTCGGATTCAGATTCCTTTTATTTCAACTGAATTAAACATTGATGTTTCTGAAGTAGAGAATCTTTTAGTTTCGTGCATCTTAGATAAGTGGGTTTTTTGATTTTTGTTGTACTGGTTTTTAATGCGTTGCTTTTTTTAGTACTATTGAAGGGAGAATTGATCAAGTAAATCAAGTTTTATTCCTTGAACGGGCTGCTGTGAATATGGCACGATACAACGCTCTGGATAGATGGACAAATCAATTGAACACTCTTCACTTGTCAATAATCAACAAAATGGCTTAACATTTTGATTATTCTTTTCCTACTAACATGTAAAACAGTGATAGAACATTAATTAAGTCCGTAAAAAATGTGATACGTTTACATGTTAACTATCACTCCAGATCTAAACATATTTATTTTAGAATTTTTTTGTTCTAACGCATTGTGAAATTGCGATTTTTTTGGTATAATTCTCTGTAATCATGATGTTATTAATTAAATACTTATTAATTCACATCAAAGTTGTTTTATTTCAAATTTGCCGCCATTTATCTACCGTTCCACGCCTACCAATCCTTCCAAGTCTCCAAAAGTGACCTTTGTTTTTGTTGGCGAATTTTTAAATTTATTCAATAAATTTGCAATATAATTATGCAAACAGGTGGTAAAAGCAGTTGTGTGTTAGAAATGATTTGATTCCGCATGGAAAAAATTGAAAAAACTTATTACAGTTACGACAACCTCTTGGTCACAAAAAATGCCAAGCAACTGTTTTTATTTATTTAAGTCAATACTTAAGTAAAGCAAGGCTCAGGTAAGTGGGTATTACTTAGTTAGTTCAAAATTTACCTACCCTAATAAATTTCAGTCAGAATTATTCAAAGTTCAAGCTCTAATTGACCTAACTGTAATGAATGTGGGCTGAGTTTAATAAAATTAAAAATGGGCATAACATAAACGAAATGAACGAGCAACAGTACGTTTCAAACCCGTGTTATTGTTTCCCAAAAGTGGTGGATACATGGGAACAACTTTTATCTATTTGCACCATCAAACAACCTGTTTATCCCCTAGATCCCGTAGCGCCCGAAAACAGCGAATTTTTTTTAATTGAATCAAATATACGCATCCGTGTGATACATATCACACCAGAAAACGTGCAAAAATTACCAAATTTGGACCTGCACCAAAATCCCAAACGAAGTTCGCTGTCTGAAGAGTACTGGTTCACAAAATGGAACAAGCCTTTAAAAATCGGAATTTGTAGTTGTTCATTCAGAAGGTCATTCAGACTCTCAAATAATAAACTCACAATAGCAGAAAACCGAGACAGGTGAGTGATGAATATGAACTGCCTGTTGCTTAAGCCACTTTAGTGTTTCCAGTTTCGATGCAGTTCCCAAACGCATTGTCAACATTGAGACTTTCGTCGAGCGCATTATCCAAGAAACAATCTTTGAAGCCTTTCAGGAATACTATATTTTGAGGAATCAAAACGGCGTCATCAATTTAGCTTATCAAAAAAGCGACGATGACGGTGTTGTTTTGCGAAAACCGATCACGAGACAGCCTAAACAATGCCTCCATAAAAAATACGCGGCACAAAAAGTATAACCAGAGCTAATTGAGTCATTCAATTCTCAAATTTTTGTTTCAGAAACCGATTATTATTTTATTTCATGGTATTGGCAATTCCGCTGAGGTTTGGTGGCCAGTTATCCACACTTTGGTCAATAAAGGATATGAGGTCATTGCCCCCGACATGTTAGGGCATGGCTACAGTTCAGCCCCCAACAAGCCAAATTCATACACTTTTCACAATCTACTAATTCACGCAATAACAATTTTCGACCACTACACTGCATCAGATGACAAGAGGAAATGCATTCTAATCGGACACTCTTACGGGTGTAGCATCGTAACAGCTCTCTACCGACACAGGGCCCCCCAAATCTCGCAGTTGATACTAATCAGCGGCGGCGGCCCTACACCTCTCGCAGCCCCGGTCAAAAACAGCGAAATTTCCCCATTTGGGTGCATCCACACTCTGTTCAAGCCCCTTATTTTCTGTGGTTTAAAGAGAAGTTTCCTGTTTTCCTCCCGGGGTAAACATTTCGAGGTTTGCGAAACCGAGTCAGCGATACCCCCGCGCATCCTAGAGTACATTTCAAGGGGGCAAAACTGGCCCGAGGGCGACGCTGCCTTTCATAGACGTATTCTTGTACCCACGCTACTGGTGCATGGGCTGCAGGACAAGAAAGTTACGCTTGTGCAACAATGTGAAATGGAGAGGGTTTGTTTTTTGGTTTTAATGAGACAAAGCAATAGTCGATTGTTTTAGACCATACCGAGGGCCTTTCTAGAACTGATCCCAAATGCCGGTCATATGGCAATGCTGGAGACACCCGAGCATCTCAGTCATATGATCTTGTGTTTTATTGACACCTGGAGTTAATTTTTTATATTTATTTTTTATTTATTGATAGCTTTACACGTAACTTCGGCCTGAATTAACTCATGTGATATAAAAAGTGCAAGTATTAATCCGTCCAATAACGTAACAAAGTATTATTTTTTACTCACTTTAATAAAGTTTTTCAGACAAGTTTTAATAATAACAAGTTTATTTTCAAAAATATATAATTACAAAACTTTTGACGCGAAAGACTTTAAGGCAATTTACTAGTCAATTCCGGCACGGCTTTGAACAAATCTGCGACCAATCCATAATCAGCGACTTGGAAAATTGGGGCTTCTGGATCCTTATTGATTGCCACAATAGTTTTGCTGTCCTTCATCCCAGCCAAATGCTGAATAGCTCCCGAAATTCCCACTGCGATGTATAAATCCTATCAAAAAAATCCCAATTACGTACACTTTCATCGTAATTATCTCTTTTTCATTTTAAAGTGCATCGAAGTCTAAATGCATCTTCAATTTAAAGGCCGATTCACACAAAAAGTGTCATTAATGTCATTCAGAACAAATTTAATTATATCAATAAGAATGACAAAATTTTTTGTTTGCCACCCTATGTTAATTACGTTGTTAATTTTAATTATTTTTTGCTACCTCAGAAACAAATACACATATTTATTTGAGAAAATAATTTTGAGGTTGGGATTGTTCGAATTTTCGCATGGTTGCCACCTTAAAATGATCCGTTTCAACGACTACTTCGATGCACATTAATATGAAAACGGTTATAACATACCGGTGCGACAATTTTCCCAGTTTGGCCAACTTGAAGATCATTCGGAACAAATCCAGCGTCAACAGCAGCCCTGGAAGCCCCCACGGCTGCATTCAACTTATCGGCAAGATCGTACAAGAGCTTGAAATTATCGCCCGATTTCAAGCCACGACCCCCACTGACCACGACTTTGGCACTGGTTAGCTCAGGCCGGTCGGATTTGCTCAATTGTTGCCCCACGAAGACAGTCATGTCAGTGGCGCAGCCATCAGTGGGGACAGTTTCGGTTTTAGCCGAGCCCCCTTCGAGTTTATCAGCCTCAAAACTGGTCCCTCGGACACTTATAATTTTGATAGGGTCGTTGGCTTTCAGGGTTTGGATGGCGTTACCTAAGAAGAGTATGGGGGGTCACCACCACAGGAGTGCAACTGTATTTTTTATTACCTGCATAGATGCTTCTCACGAACGTGTCTGGGGATTTAATCCCAATCACGTCAGAGACGGGGGAGACGTCCAATTTAGCCGCAACTCGCGGCAGAAGAGCCTTACCAAAAGCGGAAGCCCCGGCTATAATATGAGTGTAATTGAACTGTTTTTGTGTTGAAATTATAAGGGGGGTCAGGCTTTCGGCCGTAAAACCGTTAAAAGCATCACTTTCGGCAATAAGGATCTTTGAAAGACCGTTTGCTTTGGCTAGGGCTTCCGCCGCAGGGCCGCATTTGGTCCCGGCTACGAGAACAGAAATTTCGCCCCCTATTTTTTTAGCAGCAGTTAACGCATTTTGGGTTATTGGGTTAAGGCCCTTGTTATCGTGTTCGGCGATAATTAGAGTACTTTGAAGACGTTTCAAATGATTGGAAAACTAGAAATTGTTCAATTATGAGCAAAGTTATTACATAAGAAAAATTATATAAATACCTGTGAAGTTAACTGACGCGAACAATTCGAAAACATTTTGCTAAATCTACCAATTCTTTTACTTTATTAATTATTTAATGATGTTATCAAAGTACATAGAGTTCAAAGTACACCTGACATTGACAGATGAGAAGAGTAGGGATAGGAAATAAGTATCGATATTTCTAAAAGTCCTAGAACATCGATGGACGTTTCAGTACATCGATACATAAAGTTGCGATATATCGAATTCTAAAAATTACGAATTTTTGAAGCCGCCATATTGGCTCAAAACTCGTTTTAATTATGCAACTAGCAATACATTCTAGATAAGAGAGGCTTGATAGTGCTCATGCGATGGGACCGTTTTTGGGACAGAAAATTTTAATAATTTGTGCTTTAAAACTCCTACAGACTCCATTTCGAGTCTAATATCACTATGTGATATGTGAATAAGTTTAACTAGTTATGATATGCCCGTTAATACTACCTGCAAAGTAAAAATCAACTCCCAAAAAAAATACAAATTAAGACATGCAGAATGACCCAGAGATGCGTGCAAGCTCCTTAACTTTATTTTTTCTATCAAAGCTATCAACTTGATTTTTGTAACGGTAAGATCGACAGGTACATTCCAAAAATATTTCTATTCATATACAGGTGCCCTACAATAACACTAGCTTCTGTTTTTTAATGAAAACCTTTAATTTTTGTTACATTTTTGGATCGGTTACTAAATTGTCGATATAACGCTTACCTACCCGCGCCACCTTTGTTTTAGTAGTAGAATAACCAAATTTTTTTAGTGTATAATTTTTTATAGCAAACCGATTTGATTTTTATACAATTTTAGGCAACCAAATATACTTTGGCATGGGCCCTTAAAGAATAAACAAAAAGCTACGTGAACGCAAGTTTTTGTTAACAAGATTTTCTTATATTACACCATCATTAAAACACTAAATCCAAAAATAACTTGTCCTACCTAGTTGATTCCTAAAAATAAAACAAATCAGTTGTATTGCCCTCTATTTTAAAGCTGGAAAGTTTACTGATTTTCGATTTTTCCTTCGGAATTCAACATAATTGTTAATTACGTTTTAGCTAGTGTTACAGTATTTTGTTAATCGTTTAGGTGAGATACTACTTTTCTTATTTCATCACAATTCACAAATAAATTATCACGTGGTTTTTGTTAACCTTATTTTTGTAATAAGATTGACCAACGGCTTTACCTTTAACCTCTAGACACTTAAAAGGACTCTTATTTAACATATTCAATGTGTAGCTTGTTATTAAAATTGTTTTCTTTTTTGCTTTGTTTTAATTTCATTTGTTGTTACATTTGAAATTCATTTCTATTATAATTTACTAGTCTAGTAGTCTAGTGAAAAGTGATTTTTTATTCATATTTAGTACAATTTTAGAGATAATCTAAATGACTATTTTTTGTGAATTTTCTTAAACCTCAGAAGTGGGTATCAGTGATTTGTAATAGAATGAACATCAATAAACAAAATATATTTGTTGTTTATATATTTTTAAGGTATATTATAATTTTGTGATGACTAATGAGTAATTAAAAAGTACTTTTTTGAAAATGTGGTGCGAGTCAACCTTTTTTAAATTTTACCGCGCAACAAGTAGCAGGTTGTGTCGAGTGAAGTTGGCTTTTGTTCGTTGAGAGATTTTCAAAACAAAAGTCCGTTATAAAAATTTTGTCGGTCCTCAGATAGTACATTCTATTTTGATAAAAACGTGCTACGTTTGTGATATCAATTAACAAGTTGTGAGTAATATTAAGCAGCATTACGTTATTCTGTGAATAAATGTTTAGAAACTGTTGGTAATTCTACATTCTTTAAGGTTAGGTTGACAGCAAGAAGCCGGCTATGGAAGAAGAACAGGAGCAAGGGGCTGCTGCAGCGGCCGGCGTTGAAGGGGCTACAGCAGCGGCCGGTGATCAAGGGGCCGCAGTAGCAGTTACTTCGGCTGTTTTTAGGAAAAAACATCGTAAGAAGGACCCCAAATCGTGGGAGAATATTTCAAAAGTGGTTGCAGCGATGGATGAAGCAAGCAAACTGTCTTACATTGAAGAGAAATATCAAGATTTGCATGACCAAGTCCGGTTACTGACGGGCAGTAATCAGCAACTGTTGAAACACAATTCAGCTATTCAAAGAGAAAGGGATCACCACCAAAGCGAATTAGCAAAAAGTGTGGTAGCTAGAGCTCGGCTTGAAAATTTGTGCCGTGAACTGCAGAAACAAAATAAACAAATAAAGGTAACATAGTTTTTTTTTAAGAACATTAATTCCAGCATGTTTTTAGGAGGAAAATTTGGTCAAAATAAAGGAAGAGGAAGAACGCCGCAAGGAGGTTTCTTCAAAATTTGCTGATAAGCTGAGTGACATTAACAACATGATGGACGAAAATAAGGAGAAAAGTGAAAAATTACGCGAGGAGAATCTCAGAATGACCGCTAGATTGGCTGATTTATTTAACCAATTCAAAAAACGTGAGGAGGATATTGCAAGGATGTCGCATCAGCTGGAATTAGAGCGCAAATTTTCCCAAGCTACTATATCTAAAATGGACTTGGAAATGAAGGCACAAAAAGAAGTACATGCCAAAGAGCAAGAACTCATGAAATGTAACCTTGAAAAAAGCGAGGCCAATTGTACCGTCCTCTTAGAGACAGTTAAAGGTCTTCAAGATCATATTGACGTATACAAAAATCAGTACCAAGATTTTGAATCAACAATGACCAAAAGCGCGAATGTTTTTGATAACTTTAAAACAGAAATCGCTAACATGACTAAGCAAGTAGCGGCTTTGGAAAAAGAAGCACAGTTTTGGAAAAATAAATTTAATGACAGTATGAAAGCCTTGATTGAGATGAGCGAGTTGAAAAAAAATCAGGATTTGTATCTCCAAAGTCTTGAAAGGAAAGTCGAACAATTGAATAAATTATGCCGTCAGATACAAGTTGATCGTAGTCATTATTTGAAGTTGTTGAAAAGTTATGGAATTGAACCTACTCCTAGTCAACCACAAGAAAAAACTGAAGAGGCTAAGAAGGCGAGTCCAACAATGACCAAAAAAGAACAAGAATTACATTTGCTTAAAGAAAACTTGAAGGCCGTTCAAGATCAATTGGCAAGACTGAATGTTGAAGGATCTGAGAAAACTGAAACAAAGAAGACTGATGAGCAGACTACTAGTCAGGATGAAGCACCACCATGTGCCAAATGTACCCCCCAAACTATAATTGCATACCCTGATGAAGGTTTGAAATTCATAGTAGCCAATTCTTTTGTATTGTATTAATTTTTTAGCTGATTTTGTGGACGTTTGCTTGGTGACAGATCCAGAGGAAGATCAGAGTAAGAAAACTTTTCTGCTAATGACTGCATCTTAAATGTTTTTTTCAGCACCAAAAACTCCAGAGGAAAGTCAGTAAAATGATGTCTCCAAAATATCAACTTGTGATTTTTTACCAGTGGTGTTAGAATTTAATTTATTTTTCGTGTTTTTTTCTAAAGTACTTAAATATTACATTTTGAAATGTTTTTTGCATGTTATCTAAAGGAAACAGTGATATTACTCGATTTTTTTGTGATTTTGTTTGATAGGTGTTTTAATGTAACGTGACCTGTCTTAAATTTATATTTGTTTCAGAGTTTGTATTCAGTTAATTTAGTTAATGTTATATTTTTCAGAAGACTTTTTTGGTTTAATTTTTGAAATAGTACTATTAACGTGTTCTTGTAACTTGTTTAATTACAGTGCCTTTAACTTTGTTCTGAGAATTATCTAATAAAAATTTTGCAAAAACCTCTATTTTTTACAAACCATGGGACATCCGGATTCATTGTGGCATTGGTTGTTCAGCCACACTTTTTACAGTTTGTGTCCTAGCTAAGACATTGGAAATTACAGTTTACTGTAACCAGATTTACCTACTTATTTCACTTTTTCTTTTCATTTTTATTTTGAACTGGAGTTCATAACAGTAGTACTATAGTCACAGATTGTCAGCAATAATTGGTTTTATTTACTTCTAACCGAAGACAGAAATATTATAACATTTACATTTTTATGTAGGTATAAATTATTAATTCAATTTTATTCCGTCATTAATTAAGTACATCCTTCAACAAGTACTATTTTGTCTTTGACAAGTCGGTGTGTAGAAAGTCACTATGAAAATAAAAAATCGATATAATATACAGGGTGAGCCAGCGGTGCGTCCATGCCCAACAACTCTTTTTCTATCGAAGTTATCGACATGATTTTTTTTTAAAGGATAGATGCAACAATGAGGCACATTATAAAAATATTTCTATTCATATACAGGTTGTACCAAATAAGATACACAACTAGGTTCTGTTTCTTAAATAAAAACCCCAATTTTTTATTACATTTCTGGATTCACCACTAAATTGTCAATATAATGCACCTTTGGCTCTTAGACTTACCTACAACAGTTTTTGACTTATGCCAATTTATGTGTCAAAATTACATCGTACATAGACCCATAAAAAATTCATAACTTCAAAATTATTCAAGATAATTTAACCAACTTTTTTCCAGTTGATTCCTAAAGCTTTAGCGCGTCTTCTGAGATAAAGGCAAACTCGGAGTCGATGTTCCATCGCGTACTACGATTTTTTGAAAATGACAAAATACAAATAATTGGCATAAGTCAAAAACTATTACAGGTAAGTCTAAGAAACCAGGTGAGTTATATTGACAATTTAGTGGCAAATCCAGAAATGTAATAAAAAATTGGGGTTTTCATTTAAAAAAACGGAACTTAGTTGTGTATCTTATTTGGGACACTTGTCTGTATATGAATAGAAATATTTTTATAATGTGCCTCATTGTTGGATCTATCGTTTAAAAAAAATCATGTAGATAACTTGGATTGAAAAAAAGTTATAGAGCGTACACGAATCCCTGGGTCATCCTGTATATATAATATCCGTTAAATTAAAAAATTATTCGAAATGGTGTGACGTGAAACAACTACAAAACAAACATATCAAAATTACTGGGAATGTTTGTAAAATTTATAAGAAATAATAAAGAAAAAATTAATACATTCATGATGATGAAATAAAACCTAACAGGATGTGAAATTACAACCAATCTTATACAAAAAATATCTTGTAGGTGCAGGGCTGGTAAACCAAAATATTGTCAGATACTGTAGTCCAAATATTATGTTTTTTACAGATGTACAATTTAGTTACTATGCAGGCGAAATTTGTGTAATTAATAATAGGTGTAAATTTGTTGTATAATAAATTATTTTGTCTGATTAATGTTGCTATTTATTAAAACTCTCATAGATAATAAATAATCTTAGATCTCTACAAAACATCAATCACAATATCTCAAAAACCAAACACTTTTTCAAAAAAATGCCAACGCAACGGCCTATAGAATATTCTTTTAAATTATCTCACAAAAACCAAGACTGATTACTTCAAAAATGACTGAGTAATGTTGTTTTCAAGTTCAGCATTTATGCATTTTTGTTCTTTTTTTAAAGGTATTACATTTTTTTTTAATCTCAACGTATCGGCCTGTAGATTTAAAAAATTTCACTTTGATGTATAATACTTGAAATTCTTTTGTATATTAAGAGAGTAATCTTGTTTTCAATATACTAACGTCTTGAATCGTTGGTCGTGAATACAGTTTATAGTGTTTACTCTTTCTGTATTTTGTGTTGCCAACATTTATGACCTTAATACATGGACAATTATCTGTAACATATCTAGAAAAGCAAATATTGTTGACAATTTCTTCATGTTATGCATCCAGCCTTTTGTTTCCCGTAAATAAATCTCACTGCAGGTTTCTGTAACGTAAATCATGAGCATGTGTTATCAGAAAACTGAAGTTTATTTATCCTAAACTTATCAGTAATCAGCGGTCAATGTAAAGAGACTTAAAGTTGTGGTTGAAACTCGTTGACAAGTTTAGTTTTAATACATATATGATTATTAAATGGTAGCAGCGATTATAGGTAAAACCGTTGCTATCCGAAAGTGTCTTAAGTCAGAAAAATTGATAGAAGAAAGATTTTACTGTTGTGTCTGGCGCCAAAACCAATGTATTTATCAACACAATAAGGAGAATAAGACCGAACACATTGAAATGGTAAGTCAACATTTACATTATTTTATTCAAGGCATCAGTTACCTCCCTTTTAAGGTAGCTTGCTTTGTTTTTGACACCTACTCTATTTTTCCACCTTATCAGTTATTATCATAAACGTGACAGAGTAAATACCAGTGGCGCTCCTGATATTTTTCATAAGGTGCACAAGTGGATAACACATTAAAATTTTTATTATTAATGTATTAATAAAAAAAATTTGAAACGTTAAGAAATTCTAGCTCTTTTTTATACATCAACTTAACTCAAAATTCCTTATAGAAATGTATGTAGTGTACCAAATTTCTGGAGAAAATTTGTTGTATACTAAACTAACAAAAAAATCTTAAAAACTATATTGATTGCTACTAGAGTAGTCTTTATCTGTATCTTATTAGATTTTACATACTTTATAATAAGTTAATTCTTTTTAAAATACATTCCAATTTTTGAGACGAAATTTTATTAGAATTTATATTTAGATCCGTAAAATAGTATTTTACATTTTTACTCTATAAGAAAACATTCTCTTCAGTATTAATCATTACTAATGTTATTTTAATATTTTTTTTCAAATAAAGGTTTAAAGTGCTTATTAGTTATTAATGTCCATTTCAATATTTCTTTCACAAATTAAAACTTATTTCACTATTGAATTTTTTTTTATTATGGGAATAAATAAATAATAAGTTGCTGAATGTGACATTTCAGTTTTAATGTTAAAACCATATTTTTGTCATAAAAAGACCGTCGGTTAATTTTGACGTGTTCCCTGTTCTATTTTGAGTTCCATCAGCTATTTTGCAGAAATGGACGTAAAGTTAAGAGTCAAATGCGATAACAGATAATAATTATGGGTCAGTGGCCCTCGTATTTATCGGACTATTTTAAATACTTAATTGACAGTGTCGTGTGAATTTGTAAGTTAGTTTATTTCGTATAATGCTATCAAAAAATGATTGAAGAAGCGCCAGTTAGACGGTTAAACCGTCGAACGCGTAGTGAACGTAATAAAAGACGTGAACGATATTTCTATTCTAATGATTACAATTACGAAAGTGACGTTTTATCGGATGATGCTTTACCACTCTTCACGCCTCCTCCATCACCCAATAACAATAACTTTATCAAAAGCAACAAAAAAACAAATAACACCGAAAATATCAAAACGGTAAGAATAAAAATTAAGGAACAATATTTTGTATCTAGAAATGTGTCAAACCAGTGGCGCACTCAGGGGTGGGGGCAGGGCGGCGAAAAAGAATCTTGCGTACCAACTTCTAAATTGCAATTTTGAGAATCTTAGATCATTCCATGTTTCTATTTTCTTGTTACACGTTGTACAAAATATTGCTCTAGAAGGAAGTAAAGTTCCCATTTGGTTAGACGATTTTACTGATATGTTTTTATTTTAATGTAAAATAAACTTTGACCGACATTCAGATTTTGATGATGATGAATATACCTAATAAATTTTGATTCATAGGTCCTGAAGAATAAATAATTGGTTATAAAATCCGTATTCAAGAATATCGATATATGTTCTGTAACGTTTAAAGTGGCTTTACATAAAAAAAAATACAAATTGAAATAGACGTCACCATTTTTTCCCTTAGAAGATCACTCCTGTCTTGGTTTAATCGAAATGTTATTAAATTTTACTCATACAGGGTTCTCAGCGAGTTGAAAAAGTCCATTAGTGACCTTTAAATGGTAAAATTTAAAAAAATGTATAGGACATTGATAGATACTAATCTAGTGCATCACCTAAAATTATTTTCAACCATACAGCATGTCTCAAAAATAAGTTACGATACAAACTTGTGTTTTTTTAAATGAAACATCGTCATTTTTGGATGTAGCTCTTTAAAACAATGTTTTTACGCTAAACTTTTATTAGTCGATTTTGCTTAGTTTTAGAAATAAGACTTTTTTTTTTTAAATTATTACACAAAAACTAAGACAGCTAAAACAATTTTTTTCTTACTTCTGCAAAGAAAAAAGTACTGAATTTAAAGCTGTAGCAATTTTTTAGTGTTTTGCATTTGTAAAGATTAATAAATTAAGAAGTTTGTTAAAAGTTAAATAACTTAAAAAAATTAAATAGAACACCCTCTTTTTTATTTTTGCATCTAATAGATTGATAAATTGTCTCTCTAAAAAAATAAACTTTTAATGTCTAGAATTGATGAATGAAAAGATGTTTAACATTCAATATTAATTGTAGCAACAATCCCTATCAATATCTGAGCATTGTTGATACTATGGCAACCATAGTAATTCCGCCACGGATAACTTATCCGTTGATTTATCCAGAAATTGTAAAAGTCGTTATAAATACTGAAATTCAAATTATTTTATTGTAAAAATAAAGAATAATGGTTTCAGTTTAACACTAATATCATATTTCTTCCATCTCTTGTAGGTACACTTTTTGGCTACTGAAACAATAGTATTTTTTTTTAATGTTTAACGTTAAATATTTTTTTAGTTATTAATTATAAACACCTAAAAGTAAACAATTTTAGAAAGACAATTTAATAATCTTTTAAATGCAAAAACAATAAATAGGGTGTTCCATTGATTTTTATTAGGTTATTGAACTTTTAACAAACGCCTTTATTTTTTTATCTTTGCAAATGCAAAACACTAAAAAAATGTTACAACCTTATAGCTTGTACCTTCTTCTTTACGGTAGTAAAAAAATATTTCTACATGTCTTAGTTTTTGTCTAATAAATTTTAAAAAGTGCATGTTTTCGTCAAAAATAAACGTCTTATTTATAAAACTAAGCACAATCGACCAATAAACATTGTCATAAAAATCTACATCCAAAAACGCTAAGAGACATATGGTGTTTCATTAAAAAAAACACAAGTTTGTATTGTAACTTATTTTTGAGACAGGCTGTATAGTTGAAAATAATTTTAGGCGATGGAATAGATTAGTACCTATCAATGTCCTATATTATTTTTTTTATTTTAGCATTTAAAGGTAACTAATGGACTTTTTCAACTCACTGAGACACCTATACGTTACCACAATTTTTTATGATTATTAATAAAATCTTGCTTTACTTATTTTTGTCACTTATTTATATTACCGATAATGATTTTAAATAACTCATTTTCTTAGGTAAGTAGTTAGTTTCTGAAGCCATTGAAATGATGTCAACTATAATATTACAATATAAGGACTCAGAAGCCATACCTATACTTGATCGAATGAAAATAATCTTGTAGTACTAATTTTATGATTAAAATATTATTTCACTTTGACTGATTAATTAATTTTGTTACCACCTATCATCAGTATTTTTTTAAATTTCATCGACGTTTTTTTAAGATCTATATTAGTTTTAGAGTTTAAAATTAACTATAATGTAATTAATGAAGTAATTACGCATTAACAACTTTTGTACAACTCTTGTAGAGTAAAATTTCCTGTGGTGGATACCTAATGCGGTTCCAGGTCCGCCCCACCACACCTTTACTTTGCTACACCTCCAGATTGTTATCATCAGTCTAAACTCGGCTTTTTAGCTCGTAATATTTGAATGCGGCAAAAATGAAAAACGATGTGCCATCTGAACATAAAACTGTTGTTGAAGAAGTAACTCACCAGAAGCGCACAAAAAAAGTCGTGATTCCGCCAAAATCGTCGAATTTTTTAAAACCAAAAAAAGCAAGTTTTTTAATAAAAAAAATTAAACTCAAATCAAAATCGCCGTCGAGAAATCCAAAAGAAGGGCCAGTCAGTTTATCTCTCCCGAGCACTTCCACGTCGCCCTTAGGACGGCAAACTCCCGAAGGCGATGATAGTTTAATGTTTGCTAAGTCCGTATCTGAAAGCAATCTCTCTGAATCGTGGAAAAGTGCCGAAGCCCTAGCGAAAAACACAGACAATTCGGGAGTGATTGCGGAAATCAGTCAAAATCGCGTTAGTGTTAAAGTGCCTGAAAAAACCAAGTCTTTGGAAACATTGAAAGATATGCCTGCCTATGGTGACCTTATTTGTGATCCGGCAGCTACTGTGGTAATAGTTTCATTGATATTTTTTCTACACAAACATCATTATCAGATACACTCAGATTTATTCCTAGACAAACATGATAAAGTGTAACGACTATTTAACCACACATTAACACAATTCATTCATCAAGAGAAAAAATGTATTTCCTACATCTGAAATAATGAAACAGCAAATTCTTCTTCAAATAAGAAAAACATTTTTTTGAAAGTAAATAGTCTGTAGCGCACTAACAAAAATGGTTGTAATTGATATGATAGGAAAGTTGATATCGTTCAGCAAGGACTTTGACAACCAATAAAACAAATGCTTAAAAAACCACATAGTATCGTTTATGGGAATAAAATATTATGTATAGAACATGACAAATTTAATATATTCTCTTCTATTTAAATATACAGTATTAGCCAAAAGTTATAAGACACGAGAAATATGATAACAAATGTCAAGGTTTTTCTAATTTAATTTTTTTTTAATAAAAAGAAATAATTAAGTCCATACAGATGCGCAGAAAGTATTTGGAACTAAACAAATTCGGATTAAAATGTTCTGTTTATTTTTTTTGTGACTAAGAATAAAAATGAGAATAATTTTTTTTTAAAGTTAGTTTTATTTTCAAGTTATGTAATTTTTTAAGTACCTTAGATTTTTTTGATTGGTTGATTACTTTACATTGAAACATTAGAAAATTATGTCAGTGATGAAATAATTATAATTTTTTAGTCCTATGCAAATAAAACAACTGAACGTAAGGACCATTTATACAAAATTCTTGTGATCGGCGATTTGGGAGCTGGGAAAACGTCTATAATCAAACGTTATGTTCATCGCTTCTTCACACAACATTACAGAGCAACAATTGGCGTTGATTTTGCATTAAAAGTACTCAACTGGGATGACAATACTCTTATAAGGCTTCAGTTATGGGATATAGCAGGTAATGAGTGAGGCATTTTAAATAAGTTGGAAAATATTTTAGTTATAGGACAGGAACGTTATGGCAATATGACTAGAGTTTATTACAAGGAAGCTGTAGGAGCCTTCATTGTTTTTGATGTAACTAGAACCAATACTTTTGAGTCAGTAGCAAAGTGGAAATCTGACTTGGACTCGAAAGTGCAGTTATCCGATGGGTCTCCAATTCCTTGTGTTCTTCTTGCAAACAAGGTTTAATATTTATATTGAATTGAAAATAAATAATTTGTATTGCAGACAAAAATATTCATCGTTACAATTTTCTAGTGTGACCAACAAAAGGAGGGTTTAGTTAACCATCCCAGTAAAATGGACGAATACTGTAAAGAAAATGGGTTTACAACATGGTTTGAAACTTCAGCTAAAGATAATATTAATATAGATGAAGCAGCTAATGCTTTGGTTAAAAAAGTAAGTGGTAGCGTATGTGGACTAAAAATTTAAATATAACTTTTTTATTTCAGATACTTGAAAACGACACTTTATTGAATGTAGAGTCACTGAAAGATGAAGACAAATTTTCAATATCTAAGGACACAAGTGGTCAGAGAAATGGAAAAATGTGTTCTTGTTGATTGTTTATATTGCATTTTTTTATATATATTAGTTTTGTGTTAGTTAAATTAGATGTTTCATCTTTGATTTTAAAATTTTCTATTTTAGATTACACTCACTACTGGTAATGTTGAGAAGGTTTCCTGCAAATAATAAACTTTCTACGTATACGTAGTGTCACAACCATATTTTATAAATTGATAGCCAGTATTTTTTGTTTACATAGAATATTTCTGTAATACTGCAAACCTTTTAAAGCTTCATGTTTTAATACACACTGCGGTTTTTTAAATTGTGTTTTATTTCATATACAAGTTTATTTTAAGAGGTATACATATGAAATTTTGAAACTTAAAACGACATGAGGAATTTTTTTAATATCTTTAGTTTTGTATTTTACGTCAAAAAGTAAGTGCCATACACATTTGCTATGCTCTCAGGTTAGTCAGACTGTTTTTTAGTTAACTTGTTATAACCCATAGTAAAACTCTTTTCATTATTGTAAAAAAAGTGGACTCAAACCCCTCAGAAAGAAATTCCTTATACATTATACACGGTGCGTCAGGACTCGCGCCTCAGAAAAATACCATGTAAGGTAAGATACCAGGAATATGGAAAAATGTTAAAAAAATTCTATCTATAAAAATTTAAAAGTTATGAGAGTTTAAATTTTGCACTTTGACTATTTATTTCTGTTGGAAAAATATTTTTCAAGTTTTTTTTTTGCTACAGGCTATCAGAAGAGGATACAAGGAAGCTGTATCATCTGTTTAATATTATTTGTGGCATTTATTGGCAAAACATTTATACTTTTACTAAATAATTATAAAAGATCATCAGTATAAAAAAATGTCAAATGTCAAAAATAAATGTCAAATTTTTTGACAAATAGAATTTTTTAAACATTTTTTTATGTTCCTGGTATTTTATCTTATTTGAAATTTTTCTCTGGGGCGCGAGTTCTGGCGCACCCCTGTATAAATACTTATGTTTAAGAAAAGTGAACAATTCTATCGATGATAATACCTCACTGACGAAATTAGTACTAAAAAAGTCACTTCTAAACTAAGTATTAACAGTTTCGTAAAAAATTGAGAATAATTTTATTTGCATTAAATAATTAATGCATTAATTTAATAAAACTGGTGCTTTTTTATTTTTAGAATAATGTATTTTGACCTTTAGTACTCAAGTCAGATAGGAAATATTTAATAGAATTAAAGCAATTACACTTGTTCAATTTTTTAATAATTTTTTCTAGAGTCAGTGGTTCCCAAACTTTTTTAACCGCGACACCAGGCTTTTTTTTAGAAACTAAAAATAAACAAAACATGTATAACACCACAAAAAATTAGACTAAATGAACCCCTGCATTGAATAAATTTATCCATTTATTACTTATTTATTAAAATTAATAGAATGGATGAAAGCAAAAAAATCAAAGTTTTTGTGCTCCTGTGAAGACTCCGGGGCTTCTCAGGTCGCGCAGCGACCACTGAATTTTATCATTAAATAATATTTCGATAACTGAGTTATCATTTCTATAACATCCGCCAGTAAATTTTCCATTTTCGATTTTCAAGCGTGGCGCCACTGTTCCACTTTTCGTGTCATGACATCTGCGCCATCTTATTAAGATCGCAGTTTCAATTTACATTAATTTCTATTTTTAAATAAATTTTTAAGGATTACCGCAGTTTTTAAGCCACAGAAATACCAAAATGGCTTCGAGAGTATTACTTAAAAAGCCTTTCGATTTAGGAAAACTTGTTTTAAGAGTGAGTACGCATCTATTGCATAACCTTTAATATAAATATTGATGAAATTTTAGCATCAATCAACGATGTCAGCTTTTGAAATTCAGCACAAGACACCCCTTATTAAAAAAGTCGTAAGTTCCTTCAATTTTTTTCGCGTAAAAGTCCTTCAGGGAGTTTCAGGAACCTATCCCTGTTGCAATGTATGGGGGCCGTCATCATGTCACGATGTTACCAGGGGGTGGAATTGGTCCCGAATTGATGGGATATGTTACAGAGGTTTTCAAATATGCAGGAGCCCCTGTTGATTTTGAACTTGTAGAAATTGGAGATGAAAATAGTGATCTTGACTATGCCCTAACTTCGATCAAGAGAAACGGCGTTGCCATTAAAGGTTTGCACGGTTGCCAATCATGCCCGTTTTTGGAGTGTTGTTTTTAGGCAACATTGAAACAAAAAGCGAGGACGCGAGTATCGTTTCCCGAAATGTGGCAATCAGAAATGAATTAGATTTGTATGTAAATATTTTACATTGTAAATCATATCCGGGAGTTCATGCAAGACAAAAGGATATTGACATTGTCATCATTAGGCAAAATACTGAGGGAGAGTACGCCATGTTGGAACATGAGGTGATTTGATCGGGGGTTGATTTGGGGACTTGTAACTTCTAGTAAATTTCAGAGCGTTGATGGAGTTGTTGAAAGTATGAAAGTTGTAACCAAATCAAATTCAGATAGAGTCGCACGTTTTGCGTTCGAATATGCCAAGAAAAATGGTCGCAAGAGAGTTACAACTATACACAAAGCCAACATTATGTAAGAAAATTAGAAACTCGAATTTTCGACTGATCATTGCTTGCAGGAAACTTTCAGATGGTCTCTTTTTGGAAACGTCAAAACGGGTAGCAAAAGATTACCCCGAAATTGAACACAACGACATGATTATTGATAATTGTTGCATGCAACTAGTATCAAAGCCGCACCAATTTGATGTTATGATTATGACAAATTTGTATGGAAGTATAGTCTCTAATGTAGTTTGTGGATTGATAGGGGGCGCTGGTCTCTTATCTGGTAAAAACTATGGCGACCATGTAATTTTTTTTTCTGAATTGTATCACTTTTCTTGATATTTTTTCTTATAGTACGCCATTTTTGAGCCTGGTACTAGAAACACGGGGACAGCTATTGCGGGAAAAAACATTGCTAACCCCATCGCTATGTTGAGTGCCTCAGTAGATATGTTACACCACTTGGGACATGTACAACACGCTGAACTTATTCAACGCGCTATTGAGAAAACCATCTGTGAGGATAAAATACACACCCCTGGTAATATTTATTTTATTTTTTCTCAATAATGGTTGACTTTTTCGTAGATTTGGGGGGTTCGGCTAGAAGTACGGATGTTGTTCAAAGAATTATCGACCACATTTTACAAGCCGATATTAGACCTTGGTAATTATTTTTGTTTTGTTTTGGGTGTTTAAATTGGGCGAATGTGCTTCTGCTAACTTTTACGTTGACTTATAATTTGGTCATTGTCATTCTAATAACTTTCTAACAAAACTAATTTTCTTGCTACAAGCGATGTCTAATCAATTGTGGGGTTGTAAGTTCGCGATCAAACGCCAAATCTTTTTTTAATTATTATTTTTTTTTATTTTACAGAATCGAGTTTGAGTCACGTTTGTACCTTATTTAATTGTATGATATGTAAATAGACTTCAACTAAGATGATGTATTTATTAAGTCTTGTAATTTGCTTTGGATTAAACCGAGGATTAAATAAAACATAAGATCAATTCGACTACCACTTTTATTGCCATATAAGTTATAGTTTAAATTAAAATATAAAAATATACTCCTCAACCATTATACATTTTCTGGAATGTAAATTAAAATGGTGTCATGTCATAGATCACATTTTGGGGGCAGCCCATTTGTACGAGCCTGTATAAGTGAAATTGTTATTCATCAACATTTCGTCGGCTTCTTTAGGCCCACGGCTCCCATACCTAAAATAGTTAAAATGTAAATGTTCCTTAAATCTGGATAACACACTTACACATAGGGAATTGGTTTAACTTTTTCACTTTCAATTTGATGCAAAAGTGGAGTGAAGATCCTCCAAGCTTCACTTAACTCATCTGACCGGACGAAATGCATTTGAGAGCCGCAGAATACGTCCAAAATTAACCTTTCATACGCATCAGGCAATTTAACATTCTAGGGATAAGAAAAATAACTCTTAAATCAACCATTTGCACGAGTACTTACTGCGTATCTATGGCCGTAAGTCAGATCCAGTTCAGTTTCTTCCATATCGAAGGCCATTCCTGGCGTCTTCACCATCAGTTTGACATACAAGGCTTCACCAGGTTGTACTCTGATGACCAGTTCGTTACGTTTCGGCTTTCCGTCGAAGATATCTCCAGGGACGTCCTTAAACTGGATCCGGACTTCGGCTTTACGCTCATTCAAGGCTAAGACAAGTTATGCAATGAATGTCATGATTATGATAACAAAATCGCCCACCTTTTCCACATTTAAGAATGAATGGGACTCCATCCCATCGCTCGTTATTGATGTGGAGAGCGGCCAAGGCGTAGGTGGGGGTCACTGAATCTTTGGGCACAGTCGGGTCGTCCAAATACCCCAATTTTGCGTCACCTTCCCCATTCGGGTTCCCAACATACTGGCCCAAAACCACATCTTTTCGCTCAATTACTCTAATGCATCGCAAAACCTTCACTTTTTCGTTTCTAATATCGTCAGGGTGGACTGACGCTGGTTTCTCCATTGCGACAAGAGTCAAAATTTGGAGGAGGTGGTTTTGCATGATGTCTCGGATAATACCAAACTCGTCAAAATACCCTCCACGGCCTTGAGTCCCGAATGGTTCCTTGAAACTGATCTGGATTGAGGCAATGTTGTCTCGGTTCCAAGTCGGGTTGAAAATACGATTGCCAAACCTACGGATATAAAGTCACGATTGGCTAAATCTTGTGAAAATCTACCTCAGGGTCATGAGATTTTGCACCATTTCCTTCCCTAAGTAATGGTCTATCCGGTAAATTTGCTGTTCGGTGAATAGAGAGCTCAAATGGTTTGACAGTTTTTGCGAAGAGTCAAAATCGCGACCGAAAGGTTTCTCGATAATAACCCTTGTCCAGCCTCTGCAAAGTGGAAAGTAGAACAAGGTCAACCGACTCGTACGACTTACTTTTGGGCCATGCACGAATTTCGAATATGAACGGTTACAGTTTCAAAAACAGAGGGTGGCAGAGCCAAATAAAACACCCTATTCGCGGCTGGGCCCTTCTCAAAGGGGCAAATCTCCTGGTTAAGTCTCTCAAAGTCGGTCCTTGAGTCGTACGATCCAGCCACGTAGTAATGCAGCTTCCAGAAGTTCTCAAATCGGTCTTCTTCTCCACTTCTCACCTTGACAATGTCATAAAGTGCATACAATAATAGGAGATGAGTCATTGATAATTACCTTCATGTATGGCTTGCATTTTTCCTTAATTTCCTGGACTGACGTCTTACTGCGGGCATAGCCGAAAAATACTGTGTTGAGCGGCAGGAGATTATCTCTATACAACCACCACAACGTGGGGTAGATTTTCTTTCTCGCTAAATCTCCCTAAGTATTGATTAGTCAATGACACTTGGCATTTTTGCAACTTACCGAAGCTCCAAGTGTGATAAAGACATGGGGGTGCTGGCCGTCGAAATGTGTCCCTCCATGGTCCATTTCTTTGGATTTGAGAGATTTCCGGTAAAGGGCCAAACAAACCTCCGAATTTGCGGCATCTGGAAAAACATAATTTGTCGTTTTTACAATTTCTTCTTTGCAAATTTACCATCGTCGTCTATTTTTAGCAACGGCATTCTAATAAGATGTGATCTGTTTGCGGCGAGATTATTGACAGAACTAAAATACACGATTAGATGACTTTCATTCGTATTTCAATAACACACATTTTCAAGGTTGCTAAATAATTATTAAATACGAGTATTTTACAAAAGTTCCCGCCAGTTCCATCTCAGATCAAAAAAGAAATAAGCGACGATTTTCTCATCTTTATTCATTATGCTACTAAAAATAAGCCTTTTCTATGATAATTCTCAAATGTACTGATTAAATAACCATTGATTGTACACAATACAATCAAAGCGATCGATAATAAGGAATTCAAGTATTACTAAAACAATCTGCAGTTATGATCATTGTTGTTACTTTTCACAAAAATATTTTATTTTATATTTTCAACTAAAGTTATGTCATACGGAAACAAATGCTTCCAATTACTTAATTATAATTGATAAACAATCTGCGAGTCATGTGTAACAGCGGTCTCTTTTGTTTTTATGATAGCCAATTATTTACATTACGTCATGAATCATCCAACATTTAAAAATCCCACAATGATTTTGGAGTGGGTACCAATAATGACTGGGCAGAATTTTCCTTAAATTATTTTTTTTATCACCCTAAACTCTTAACAGATAACCTTACGTATTTAAAATAAAACAGGTGATTTTTCCAAACTGATAAAAAGCTTGATTTCGGACAATTTTCCTTCATTAAACTGCATACAAACAAAAAAAATTATCTATAATTACACTTATTGAATGAAAACCACGTGTAGGAATCGTGACGCCGTTCGAGGGTAAGTTCTGACTGGCCAGTTTAGGGCCACCCTCCAAAATATGCGGCTTTGGGTCCCAATATCTATTACAAAAAACCCGCCAAATTACCTGTGCGCGAATCTCAAGTAGATTTAATTAATAAGTCGAGATAAAATTTTATACTTACGTGGTGGAATAGTTGTGGCCATATTAAACGGTTTTCGTCAAAAAGGAACACTTAGGAACGATACACTAACAAAAATAATTATCGGACCAGGCAACTGAATAGTTTTAAGCGTTTGAATATGCAGGTAAGAAGTGTGTGGTGTGGTAAAGACGTACGTCGTTAAAGTCATATTAGGAAGAGAAAAGGAAGGAGAGCTGGAACTGTGTCAGTGTATAACGCGTTCTAGATTGAGTTACGTTCTGATTGGTCGGATTTTCATCAGTTTTCGACAAATTCAATTATCTCGCATTTTTGCTATTTCATGCTGCAAACGATTTTTTCACAACTAGTTGTAAAAATAATAATTTACTTTGTCAATTTTTTATATTTTTGACTAAGGGATCATCACGGAAATGAAACATCAGAATAACCCCACTTCTAATATTCTTTGTCAAAACAACAAACGGGCTTATTCTATGTCCAAATATACTACTACTAGGGCAAATTTTGACACTTTTCTTTGTTATTTTATCAAATATTTTACATTATAAATTCTTTTAATCGATGCAGAAGTATGTAATTAAGTCGAGAGAGTCATTTACTTTAAAATTGCTTTATTCAACTTGAATTTAGTGACGTCATCTATGAACAGTCCCTATAATAATGTGAAATGTTTAGCAAAAGCGTCAATAAGTTAAAAAATTACCCCTACACTTAACACTATCTACAAAAAATAAATAAAAAAATGTACAAAATGACTAGCTGATCTTTGGCATTATATTTGAGAAAAAAGATCCTTTAGTTGTTTTTTCTAACGTGGCGCCGCCTTTTCATGGCTCCTGCTTGTTTAAGCAACTGGACATTTTCATCATCACAATCAAGAGACGGATCCCATATTCTCAATTTTTTTGGCAAATAGATTAGTCCCCCTAGTGTGACACCTAGAGATTTTAGAATTATTTTAATTCCATTGGAGCGGTTTACTTACAATTTAAAACACAAGGAAAAACAACATAAAAATTCAGAGTCGCTGCACGAAAATACAGCGTTTCTGTGAGATACATTACAATTGTCACGAGGAGCGAGAATATCCCCATACTGACAACCCTAGAAGGCAAAAACAGTAAATTGTAACGGTACAGGGGGTGTTATTTTTACGGTTTGTAATGTATGTAGAGTGTACAGTGAATTAAAGCTAAAGCTTTTAAAATTGAATAAACACCCAAAATCCTCGAGGTAGTGTATTCCTCTATAACAGAAAATATTATTCAAGTTAACCCTGATAACCACCTACCATCAACAAAATCTGTCTCTGAGAAGGTTTTACTTAGGAAAGATCGTTTTTCGATGTAACTTCGCACAGCTGTACCGAGATCCATAAATGCAACAAAGGCTATCCAGCCTCTGAAGGCATATATCATTTTCCTATCCATAATAAATGATTTTTTTCCTGATTTTTTAAGACCCGTCTAGACACATTCATTAAAGGCACGTTGTTTTTAACAAACTTTCATTATTTAACAGGAAATAAAGCAGATATGTTTCGGTAATTGCATTAAATTTGTAAGATTTATCATAAGAACATTTTTAATAATGGGGTTTGGGCTACAGTGGGGTTATGTTCGATTTTTATGCAGTTTAGTCTTCGGTCCGTCAATAAAATGAACTGCGCATCCTCAATAGCTATTTGACACAACTGCGCCAGATTTGACTTTGTTAAAGGATTTTTCAATAAAAAAGTGTTTCCAAAACTTGTTGTATTTTGAAGAAGCGACATATATCTTTACAACAATTATTATTGTACATTATTAATCAAGTTAAATATGCATTAAACACTATATTTCTTAGAGTCTACTCTTATCACTAAAAAGTTAATAAATTAAACAATGACAATATGAAGCTAATTGTATAATAGAGGACTTAATCCCAATTTATTTTAACATTTTTAACATTTAAACATCATGAGTGACGTAACTAAAATTATTGTATAAGAATTTTGTACGTGGTACTCTTGATAAAATTCATACTTATTGTATGAAGTATACAAACTTACAAATACAACAGTACAATTAGATAAAAACATGCTAATTGCTTAATTACAAAGCTGTCTGAACACTAATGAAAATTTGAGTGGAAGACGAGATGTGACACGGTAAAAAAAAACGTCTGAAAGTTCGGTAAAAAAATTATACTGCCACTGTCGATGATTCCAACTGCATTTTCGCTCGAACAGTAGGGACATCATCTTCTATTCTTACAAGAAGCCGAATTTTCTGAAAATCAAAACTCAAAAAACACATTTTTACAAAACATATACCCACCGTTTCTCTATCTCCCGGAGTAACCATCCAAATCCAAACCATGTATCCAGGAATGCACAACATGGAAGTAAGCGCAGTAAACCAGCCAAACAAGTGAGCCCATAGTGGAAATTCGTAATTCAAATACTTAACCGGTGTCCATTGAACCAGATTAAATATAAACACGCCCTGAAAGAATATTTAAGACAACTAAATAATAAAAAAAAATAAACATACAATGCAGATCACTGGTGTAGTAATCGTCCAACAAAACTTCCACCAACTGATGGGATAATAGCCGATCATTTCTTTAATCCCATCGTAGAATCTGTTAACGCCGAAGGCCCAAGAAATTGCGATACATTCGAAGAAAATCAAGAACAATAGACAGAAACCACTGACGGCGTACGAATCCAAAATTTGGAACACATACATGCCACCCTAGTAAAAAGTTTGTATTCGAATTAATTTCTCAACAGCCATACCTCTGAAATGCACGATAATCCGACGACATATGATAATGCGCAGACGATCGCAATGAAGACTTCTTTTCTTTTTCGCAAGACATGTGGCCACTCATCGATGATGGCAGTGACGAAGCCTTCCATGGTACAAAATTGCGAATCCAAACCTATTAGAAGAATCATAAAGAAAAACAAGCAAGCCCAAAGTGGTGACCCCGGAAGTTGCAAAACTGCAGAAGGGTACGCCAGGAAGGCCAATCCAGGTCCTGAAAATTCCTACCTAAGATAAATTACATTTGCGGTTTCGTATACCTGAAGCAGCGACTTCTGCCACCGGTTTTTGCTGTTCGTGCGCCATGAAACCCACTACTGAAAATATTACAAAGCCGGCAAACATACTCGTGCTTGAGTTAACACAACACACAATTAAAGCATCCCTGGAAAATTATTTTAGTAATATTAGAGCGACTAAAAATGCACTGATTTACTTATATACATTGTTGGTGAATTTGTTATAACTGCCTAAAGCAACCAACGTGCCTAAACCTAAACCGTAAGAGAAGAAAATTTGGGTGACTGCATCGATCCAGACTTCGGATTCCTTCAGTTTTGCAACGTTGGGCATAACGTAGAATTTGATGCCTTCCATGGCGCCAGGCAGAGTAACTCCTCGTATCAGTAAAATGGTGAGTAGAACATACGGGAAAAGAGCAGTGAAGTAGACCACTTTTCCGGTCCATTTCACACCTTTCCAAATACAGAAATAGCAAATGATCCAGACAAAAAGTAAAGTCCCGGCTAATTCCCACCGAATCGAGCCTACGTGTTCAATCCCTTCGGAAATTTGAAGAGCCCTTCGTCTAAAATTCGGTGTTAATATTAAATGGGGATGAGTTAGTGACTTACTCCCAAAATTCTTTAACAGGGTCGGTTAGTTCAGTTACTGATATGTTGTGTTGGTTAATAGCACAAATTTTGCTAAAAGTGTTATTAGGGTTGTATTGCTCCCAACAAGTTAGTGAACTACGATCGTAAGGGTTAACACAATATTTGGTGTTCCAATAATTATTACAAGTGCGCCAAGGAACATCTGAATTGTTAGTTTTAGTTAAGGTTGAGGGGATTTTGGTGAATTACCTGATCGTAATGACATGAAGAAATAGAAAATTGCCCAGGCTAAGATGACAATGTAGTAGATGTTCATCCAGCAGGACATAACCGCGGCGGCATAACCGATTCCTGAAATTTAGTTCACGAATTTTGGTTTGCGACTCAATTCCCGTCTTACCTTTGAAAATTGGTGCGATTTTGAAAACGCCCAACCCTCCAATCGTCATCATTTGGCCAAGTGCCAGCTCCATGAAGAACATTGGGATACCAGCAAGGATAAGTGTGATAAAGTAAGGTACAAGGAAGGCACCACCACCATTTTTGTAACACAAGTAAGGAAACCGCCAAACATTCCCTAAACCTATAGCCAACCCAACTACCGATAAAATAAAGTCTAGTTTTGTAGCCCACGTCCCTCGTTCAGGTACATTCGCATATTTCTGCGACTGTAACTTATTCGCTGAATTTGGAACACCGGTTAATGTTTGTAATTCGATTTCTTCGTGTCGATTTAAGTTAAGGGTGTTTTCTAAGCAATCTTGCGCTTCTTCTTTCCTCTCGGCCATTCTCTCAATATTTCTTCTCACACTTTGCGAAACGTCAGCTCATTACAGATCAAATCTCAACCTGCCACCAAAACTCAAATCACAATTCGGTCACACGTCACCACAATACCACATTTCAAAAATTATTATGTTTAAAGTGTCAATTGCTGGCTTAATTTCCGGTTCGAGACAAGTATCGAAAGTCTCTTCGAATTGATTCAAGTCCATTTCAAGTCGTGACAGAAAGTGAAAATGATTTTTGCGAAGACAGGCTTTGCGCATTGTTGATTTTTTGTGGAAAATAAATAAAGACGGTATCTACCAGAGTCGAGCTTTAAAAGGGAATTAATTGTTCTTCACGTTTGAGGAAGCGTTTAAGCTGAGAAACTCGTTTGAAACAGAGAAACAGTTCGGTCCTACGTAATTATATCCGAACTGAAAGCAAATTGCTATTTTAATTATGGCCCTTATCACGCTCGATTTCTTGCAACAGTGGATGTTAAAAAGAGAAAAGCATCGTATTTATTGAATAAGATAAAACATCGGATTTCGAGTATTGCTTTTCTGGAGTCTGCATTAAGCCGGAAATGAGTCCGGGTTGCGATTCCGGATTTAACGATTTTCAAGCAATTTCGCCAAAAGATTGACTTATTATTTTTTTTGAAAAAAATTTGATTGTAAATATAGCATCGTTTGGATTAATAATAGCTACAACGTACGTAAGTTTATATTATGCCTACTATATCTAGGGCACCAATATTATATAACTGGGTATTTCCGCCAATGCCATAAGCTTGCTCATCTAGTGTTCGTTCCCTTGTAAATCATGATAGCGAAATTGAAATAAATGTGATATTGTGGGGGTCTCACAGACAGATTGTTTTAATAGGGAGCTTGCGTCAATTATTAAACCGACACTTTTTAATTCATAGAATCAAAACGAGTCGCGAAAGCTTTATTAATTTTACACAGCTTCATACGATATTTTTTAAAACCCTTAATTACAGACTAAAACTAAATATTTATTGGAATTTGTGGAATGATTAACGCAATCTCCTTTTTACAATTAGCTGTTCATAATTTATTTTGAATTAAACCCGAAGCAAAGTAAAGCATTCTTAACGAAAACAATATTTCAAAGTTCTAAATCATTAAAACCCTAATGAGACTTGTTGAGTAAGCAACAGGAATTTGTGCGTCTTAGGAAGAAGCAAGGGAAATCAAAAATTAACTCGAAAATGCCAATGAAACGATGTTTACTTGTGATTAAAAATTCACATCTCTTTTTGGCGCGTTAATTCCTGCGTTAAATATGCGAAAAGTGGCAACTGTTTTGTGTGAATCTTCTCATATGTATAATTAAGTAGGGTGGCTCACATTACGCAATATTTACCGATGTAATCCACGTGGTGTGTAAATTCACAAACACTGCACTACGCGGAAACGCGACACCAAACACCGAAGAGTGGTCTTCTTGAAGCACTCTGGACCACTGACTCCTGCTACGCGCTACATCGACAGCCTGTTGGAAGCCCTAATCAACAACGTTATCCACCAATCACGTTGCCATCTTGCGTGGGAGAGGGGCTAAAAGGGATATTTCTAACAAACTCTTAAAATATGTTACTAACTTTAGAACAACGTCTAAAATTTGACAATTATTTATTAATTTATCCACACTCGGAAAAATCAGGTTTTTCTAGAATGGGAGGATTTAATGTATGCAGGTTTAGTAGATGCTCATTTCTATCGGATTTGTAGGCGAGATCCAATTTACCAATTTGAATAATTGGCTAATTTTATTTTCGTATTGTTTACTGACTTATTATATAAACTCCAATTGCCTTGAATGGCTTAGCACTTTAAATAAAATATATTCGAAGCGAGGGTAAGTAATTTTTTTCTTGGAACATAATGAACATTGACATTTTTCGTTGTCCTTAAAATCCTATATTGTCTTCAGGCGTCGCAATATTTTCTCGTGAAAAAATTCTGGTAAAATTTTTAAAGCATACTGGAATTGTTGCAGATAATGCATGCGCCCCTAGTCATTTACAGGTATCCGGTCATGTGACATGTATCCTGCCATTGCCACTTCCTTTCCCGTCGCCCTCAGAGGATGTACCTAACCGGGAAATGATTTCTGCAGCGCGACTAGTCATATATTTAAATATTATGGCTCGTTCTAATTATCTGACACTGACTTATGTTTAATGCATCCGCCTCTAACAATCAAAAATTGAAAAAAATTGCAATTCGAGAAAATTTAAAATTTAGTGAAAACTATTTTCCAACAAATAAGTACATTTTTAAAGAAAAATCCTCAAAGTAATTATAATGCAAAGAAGAGATTTGAGTTGGAGATGATTATGAAATATTTCTCCCAGAAGCATTGTTTCAAACCCAATTGTTCAAGCTGAGGACCTGTCACTCACTATTAAGGAAATACAAACTTCAATTGTTGAACTTCTCTGCTTTCATAGATAAGATTCTACTGTTTTCCATAAAAGGTCTATACACTTTATAAACTAAAAACGAGACAATTTTTATTAAAATTGTCCTGTGTTATTTTTTTAAATCTTGTTTAAAACTTGTGCAAACAACAATACTTCAGTGTATAACTTGTTGCGGTAAAAAACAACTATTTATTTTCAAAAGTTTATTAATTTTAAGAATACAATAATACCATAAATATCATACTTTTTAACAGATTAAAATAAATGCACAAAACTTGTGTAAGTATGAAATTATAAAAAACGAGTTATTCTGTTAGATTAAGACTGGAGTATGGTGGTGGATAGTCGTTAAGAACAGTTGAATTATAATTACTATTGATATTATTCTGAAGCTGAGAAACTGGATGTTCGTGCGAGTACAAATTGATGACATATTCGTTAGATCTGTTCCTCTCGTCTGTATTTTCCCTTTGCACTTGTGTAACAACCTCTCTTGCTATAATCACGGAAACAAAATTGTCGTAAAATTTACCCAGTTTGTTATTCTTTTGAAAGATATCTCTGGCCTAAAAAAATAATTCTTATCTAATGTTTTTTTTTTTTTTAAACTTACAATATAAGCACCCAGAAAACTTCCAAAAAGTGCACCTCCGACGACGTCTTGGAGATGGTTCTCGTTGTTGCGCCACAAGTACCAAGAGTAAGTGAGTGAGACGCCTCCAGGTACCAACAATGCGAGGAGTTTAGTTGCAAAACGTTTTTTTTCATCCAAATAAGTACAAAGTACGAAGAGGAAAGCAGTGGCATAGGAAATGGAGCAGATTAGGAAAGAGGGAAAAGCACCACGGGAGTAGCGGTCGAGATCTGTAAATTTTTTCGTTGATGTGTTTGAAGGACAAGACTGGCAACAATAAAATAAGTAGAGTTCGTCATTGGTGAAGAAAGACGGGATGGGATAACCGATGAGGTTCTTAAGGACGTAACTTCCGACCCACAGGGTTAAAAAGCCGAAGAAGTAGTTCACTGGAATAAAAATGTTACACACAGAAAAATAATGTGAGTTTTATACTTATATCCAGCACATCCTTGTTCACCCAGCCGTAAATTATTATCCGGGTTGACATCAGACACACGACTAAGCAAGTAACGATTACAATTGTCACAATTGCCCATGTTTTGTCAACTGGAGTTAAGGGTTGCTTAAAATTTTCATTATCACAATGCTGGGTCATGTTCCATGATATATAGTCGGGGTAGGGGACACTTAATCAAAAATTATTTCTCTTCAAAATTTTTTTGGAAACACTTACCCAGTGAAAAACGAAGAAGAAACTACCAGAATGATAGCTAAGTAATGAATCGCAGTGAAAAAGCGATCTTTGTAGTCATAGAGCCGTTGCTCCTTGACTACAAATTGATAAAAAATAAAATATAGAAATTTTGAAAAATGAACAGTTACCTGATCTCTTTTGGAAATACTGGAATTTGAATTCCAACGGAAACATCTTTTTTGCAACTGAAACTTGAAAACTTTGTTATGGTAGACTGTTTTATCAAGGTGGGGGAAGTGTCATGTGATTGGCTAAGACATGGTAGTCTCATGCATAAGACAGAGATGGTAAAACAAGGCTTAAACTTTGAACCCAAAAATATTTTTGTTAAAATGTAAAGGCATTATGATATTATTATAAACTTACAATTTTTTTGCTTCATCGCTTTTATTTTGGAAAGTGTGTAAATTATTTAAGGTCAAATTTTTTAATAAAAATTTTAAAACAATATACAGGTTGTGTCACGTAAGACTTTTGGGTCTAATATCTCTGTTATTTGCCAACGGATTTTTATGAAAAAAAGTGGAGATGCAATTAGTATGCAAGATAAATATATAATTTTAACACATATTTTTTCAATTTAAAATTAAGCGAAATGACTATTATATTGTTAAACACTAAAAATACTCCTCTACACAAAAAATAAACTAAGTCACTCGTCTCAATTACCAAAAATACGTCGACTATGTTGTTAAAAATTTGACCTAATTTTTGAAAGAATTTTATCAAAGTTGACTCTAAAACGTCTTTAAGTAACATTTTGTACAACCCTGAAAACCTGTGGTAAATTATGTTAGAACACCTTTAGAATCTTTAGAACCATATGATGGCGACTTCGAGTCGCCCATGTTTTTGCATCTTCTGCCACTTTTTACACAATTTTATATTTTTCTTTTCGTAAGTGGGACTTCTTTCAAGGACAGATTTTTGCTTATGGCATTTTTTATTGGCGATTAACAATTTATTATAAATTTTAAGTAATTTAACAATCTTAAAAGTCATATTAAAATTACATTTTAAGGCTTAGTAATGCGATATTAATCTCTACCTACTAAATACTCTACATTTTAAATTTCGTTAGAATCCGTTGTCAATTCATAGAGATATTAGATCCAAAAATCTTAGGTGGAACATCCTGTACACTGGAATTATGATACTTTGCATTCCTTCCTTTGCTTTATCGTTGTTGCTTGATAAAGTAAGACATAATATCTTCTGTTACAAAGGAAAATTATTTTCGAATAATATTACGTTTCCAAACATACATACATACATATTTAAAAAATATTTCGAAAATTTGACCTTCAGTCATAAAATGATAAATTACAAAATTGAAAATTGTACGAAGCTAATTCATTAATTAATGTATAAAAACGTAAATAATTACAGAAAATATTATATTTTTAGCTCATGTAATTATAAAACGGAAATTATTATTTTTTTAAACTCCCTTTAAAATAGCAGAAAAAAAATATTAATTGCAAATATTAGATTTCACGCGGGACATTGGAACTTACCAATCAAAAGCGATATTGCATTCCTCCAGTAATCAACCAATCACAGCAGGAAGATCTTCTCTCCCGCAAAAATGCAAATTTAGACAAACTGTTTTTTGAAAGTCTGCTCCTCAAATATTTAGTATCACCTAGGAGTATATCAAGCAAACTTATGATTCAAACACAATTTGATACACTTTCGATACAGCCTACAGTGCTTAAAACATTTTTTTTAATATTTCGATTATGATTTTTGCTCCATACTTTAATCCGCGCTTTGCTCATGAGTTTCAATTTTATCGGAAAGCTTTACTCATTTTTTAGATAATAGTAAATATTTAATTATCAATTATTAATGTTGCACAATCAAATTTTTTGATACAATTTTAATTATAAAAATTTAAGGGTGAAAAGGTCAATAAAAGTAATTTTTACATTTTAAAACCTTTTATTATTTTTTTTTTGGAACACAACTTTTGATATTAATAATAATAATAATAATAATAATAATAATAAAACATTTTAAACAACTTCATCACATTTATAAGTCTAGGAGTAATATAATATCACACTGTTATAAAAATTAGTAAAAAATATATGTACAAATTAAACGGCGGTATCTTCAAGTTCGAGTATATTTTGAGGAGGAGGAGGTGGAGTTCTCTTTCCAAGCAAAACCAGGAGTTTCTTCCAGTATTTTTTTATAATTCCCGGAATGTTCGGGAAGGAAAAATAGGAGCGGTACAAGCACACCCCCAAATGGACAATCTGTAAAGTCTTTAAAAAAAATTAGAAAAATCGAAAAATAATAAAAATGTGGAGTTAACATACCGATAAAGTGAACAGGCAAACTGCAAGTCGATTGATTGACTCAAACATGTCTCTCTTCGGAAGAAAATACTTGGAAAATATGTAGACGGCCACCGTTAACACAATCATAAACTTCGCAAACCAAGAAATCACACGTGCAAGGCGGTCTTCATTGTCCAGCAGCATGAGATAGTACACCGTTAAAATCAAGTAAATGTAGAGAAGAGATGATATCAGGGTGACAAGAAGGTTTTCGGAAATATTTCTGGCACTGGCGTTGTCCAAGTCTAAGTCCTTGGTGAGGATGTCGTTGAGCATTGCTTCCCATTCCGCGTCCCGTTGCTGGATCACCGATGAGGATGCGGCAAGGCTCAACATGGCAAAAACTGAAAAAAATTAGTAAAAATATTTTATGGGGTGATGGTACTTACGGATTATTTTTGGTGCAACTTGGAAAGCCATGATGACTGATAATTATCGGACGATGGTTGGCGATGAAATATCCACTTATGGCTTCGTGGACTAGTATTTAAGCATTCAGGTTGGACTGGAGGGAGCAGATATCAAAGTTTCCATGAGTATTACTATGAAACTGTAGTATTGGTATGGCGCGGGAATTTGATAAATAAAATTGTTTAAATCTCTGTATTTCACAAGCACCATCTCTCGTCTGATAACTCTTATTTGATAACGATCTGGTTTTTCGGGGTGAGGTTACAGTTTTCTCAAGTAGCACCATCTCTGCAAACAGCATCCAACTAGAGACGATATCGTCCGATTTTCTACAGAATTTCAGTTGTTTGCAATGTAATATTTCAAGGTTCTTGAAATGTAGATAAACGTTATTGCTGGAATTGCTGAGGTGTAAACAGGAATGGACTTTGGTTAAATAGCGTGGAAATAATGCGATTATCTGGTTACCCATTTAATCAGTTCCATCAAATTTTTAACAACTACAGATAAATGTTCCTAAATTACAACAACTGCATTTCTAAGTTACACAAATAAACTATTTTCATAGTATCACAATATTTTCAGCTTACACATGTTTCCTATTCTATGTATTTCGATATGATTTATCTATTCTACATAAATAAATAACATTCATAAAACAATTTGTACGAGTTTTTGAAACTTAACAACGTCAAGGAACATAGAGATTTCCGAAATGATCAGTATATATTTAGAAAAATAGAACTATCCTAACGATGAGCTAAACCAATCTTAACGACACTGTGAAAATTAACAGATGCTGAACGGTTTTTATTTACATTTTAATAAATTCGTTCCTTTATGCTTTGGCACATTACTTAAATAGAATCACAAATTGAGTATTTACAAACTAAAACTTTAAAAATAAAAATTGCGTCTCGATATAGCACCTTCTCGTCTCGTTTTTAAAATGGAGAGAACAGAAAACGACTTATTTACAAATTTTACATACTTACTATCTAACGACTTATCCAATCAGCTCCTTGTCTTATATTTACAGATAAAAATCAGCTTAGACCTACTTTACACCACACATATTAGGCACAGATGAAATGAAACGTGAGCAAATAGTATAAAATCGAATAAAAACCCGACTAAAGCATAATATACAATGAATCACAATATTTAATACTAATCTATTTAAATATTCCAATACTGCTAGTTTTTACATCAAGATTGCAAAAGTGTAGTAAGAGATGTAAGATACAGAGATGCAAAATTAGTTTTTACTGCCATATTTCTGCAATACGTGTAAAAGGGCTCAACATCAATTAACTTATTTATATTTAGACATGAATATCAACAAGAAAATCGAAAATTTTAACACGAATTTCAGGACATACATTTGTAAATACTAATTTTGGTTTGATTTTTGACATTTGAGTTGAGTATTGACGTTTTCGGATTTTAAAAGGAAGACACTGATTTAACTTAAAGAGCTTTCCTCGATGCTGGGGCTCGGAAGAGCGTTCGGATCACCGTTGGCGTGTTTTTGGCCCAATCTTGGCGAAGATCTGGAGTTACTCGTCATTGACTGGATTGTTTGAGACCGAGGACCCGCGAAACGCATACTGTAAGCCGGCCGGTCAGGATTTCCACCCTGAAATTCACACGCGCATTATTGCAACTCAATGGCGGTGACACAAACTCGCAAAACCGGTCGCTGATAAGCATAATATGCCTGCTGGACTGTCAAAAATTCAACAACCCACTTTTATCGACATTGGCTACTCACATCAAATTCCACCCTAATAACAGACCTAAAAAAGGGCGACTTGTCTACACTCCATCGGTAGCGATATGGTGCTACAACCATAACTTTCTCATAAAAAACAGACCTTTTATTTCTTTTATTTATTTCTGGATTTCTTTTTATGTGCAGGCTTTTGACACCCACACTTTATATTAACGAAAACTTATCGGAGATTTTAAAAATTATTGCGATTTTTTACAATATCTGAAAGAGTTTTACTAAAATATCTTGAAAGCTTGCTGTTTACAAAACTGCATGCGATACATGAAATTCATAAATATTTATTGTTTTAAAGCAGATTATGTAATATTCTGACTTGATAATTTGTAATAATTGTATATTATAATCAACTGATGTTAATTTTAGCTCACTTGTTATGAATATCGGATTTATCAGTTATTATGATAAAATTATTTGATCTGTCGGAATATTTCCGCCGCAGTTGCGTTAATACAGAAAAATAAAACCGACTGAGAAATTTGCTACAAATGAACATGCATGTGTAATTAGTATAAATTAAGCACTTATGGCACCACTGTTGGCAAAATTAATTGTTCTTAATATAATGAAACACATTAGTTTGGTGTTAATTATCTGTCGTTGCAATCCAACAAACAAACAAACAAGAGCTAAAGCTGTTCTAAATGGAGCTTCAGTTCTTTGCATAAGTGTTGATGTAGTGACAAGTGAATCAAGTTAGTTAAAAACAGCTGACAAATTAATACGTGCACCAGTGAAATATTTTCGACCATTGTCAAAATAAATTGTTTTAATCCGGGTCTGCTGAATTAATTAATATATAAATTTTAACTGTGGTGCCGTAGTAAATCAAGTCAATAAAATAACTTAATTTAAGTGCGTATTAATTAATTGGTGTATTGTTTATAGCTGAGATGAATGATTAAGTTAAATGCGTTGTAAAAATATGCAAATTTGATAAAGTATTGGGTTCGGGGTGTAGTAATTGAATTATGTAAAGAGAGTGAGTAAAAGCAGTTTGAGATGAACTGGTTATTGGGGATTGTAAAGTTGACTTAGAATTTAGGATTACTTAGTGTTGACTCACCTGGTTTCCGTTGCCTTGACGCACGTTCTTGTAGGGTTGGAATAGGACGAGGTAAACTTTGGGCGTAAATAAGCAACCCAAAGCAACAGTTGCGCTTATGTTGAGACACATGCACATGCTGACTATCTGAATCTGTAAAGGGGGTGGTAAATCGCCTGGCGGTGACAGAATCAGCGATTACCTTGTAGTCGTTATTTGTCCCGAAGTAAATTGGAAGAAACGCTAGCCAGACAATGCAAGTGGAGTACATCGTAAATCCAATATATTTGGCTTCATTAAAGTTCTCTGGTATTTTTCTGGTTTTGAAAGCGTACCAGGTGCAAAGGATAATGAGTATCATATTGTAAACCAAAGACATGATGAGAGAGAAAGTTGAGACTCTGCAGGTCAAAACGGCTGTCAACGGGTACGGGTATATTTCCCGAATATCTGGACGTTCGATCACAAGCCAAACGATCGCTCCAATCAGTTGTATTGATACGATTCCTGCCGAAAAATGCCGCCACCAAAAAAATTGACGATTAGAAAAATGGTGGATGCGCCGGGACAGCGATATTTCAATATTATATTTGTTCGAGTCAGGGCGCACCCTCATAAATGCAAATGAAATATGTGCCTAAATTGCAAATATACACAAAAACGAAATATTTTATCCAACGAATAATACGTAACACTTATTTTTGTTATGTTTAGAGAGCACGGATTTCACTCCAACAAAGCGTTCTTAACGTAAGACTATCACTAGGCTTTTTTATCCGCAAACAAATTTTCAAGAAAGCCATCTTTGTGACAACTTGAATGTCTCTCGTTTCTAAGGTAAGGAATATTCTCCCTCGTAATTTTCATGATTAGTGTGTTTACTACTGTATTCCTGTTTCAACACTTTTTACTCGCTTATTTTAATCTCAATCACACAAAACGAGACGTCTGCCAATAAAAGAGCGATTAGTCAGTGCATTCAAACAATCATCGTTTTCATGCAGTTTAATCAATTTTTATGACACGTCACCCATTTTATTGTCGAGGCGACAACTTAAACTCGACAATAAAATCGACTTTTAAGCACGAACAAAATACTTATCGCCAATTACACTTTTCTTACTTAGTTGCATTAATAATCTTTCACTTTTTTATTAATATATTAAATCCCTATTGTAAAAATATTCAAATTCGACATGTTTTTTTATATGTTGGGACGTAAAAACTAGTAGCTAGTATCTGGTTCCGAATGAAAGATGAATCTCTTGAGTGATTTTTCCCATTACTAAAAGATAGAGTAAAATGGCTGTAAAGTTTCGTCTAAATTTTGTGCGCTGGTGTGGTCGTAAAATCCAGTTTTTCGTCGTTTAATGTTGATAAAATTGATGATGGTTTTCCTTCGGCTGAAAAAGGAATGTATTTGCTTACCGAGTGCGATGGCGACTTGTGAGATGGGCGAAGTATAAACAGGTCTTTTGATGCTTTTCACCCCTCTGTTAAATATCCTTGAAATGCGATTGGTTTTGGTGAAAATCGCGCTGTAGCAGACGCTGAGGCACAGGCCTAGGCCCACACGCATAACCGCACAGGTTTCCACCGAGGGTTTTGCGAGGATAATGAAGGACATGGAGTAGCAGCACAGGACGCCGCTGAGGAGAACGTAGCAGAGTTCTCTGCCCGAGGCCATGATCACAGGCGTGCGGTTATACCGGATAAAGACGCAGGTGGTAAAGATGGTGCAGAGGATGCCGAAAGAGGAAAATAAAAGCGGGACTAAAGCCCACGGACTCATCCATTCTATGACCAAAGCTTTCAGTTTGTCGCAGTCCGTCTTGTCCTTGTTGGGGGCGTAGCCTGGAAGACAGGATTTGCAAGTGTCGTTGAAGACGTAAGCGTCCTCTCTGCAGGAAACGCACACCCAGCAACACTGATCCTGAAATAGACAATTAGACGTCAAAATGGCCCGGATATCCGGCCAAAACCAAACTTGCTTGATAGTTCCTTATGTGGCCTGATGGACATGTTTCGCTGCAAATTGACTTGGGCATTTCATCGCTTTCCTTCCATTGGATCCGGCTTAAGTTCAAGATCAGTCTGAAATGCACCAAGAAATTAATTTTATTCTGAAAATTAGAATCAAAACTGATTTAATCTCTTACGTGTTGTAAATTTAAGAAAAAATTCATATTATTAAATTTGTTTTTACAGAATTTTGGTATTAAAAGTATTGGAAACAAAAATGTCAATAACATCTCCTAATACGAGTATAACATCAAAAATAGAAAATAAATTTTAAAGTTGTTTGCAAAACAAAATATAGAGAGAAATTTAAAGGCATTTTGATGACCAAACTATTATTATTTTAATAAATAATTTAATTTCAAAACGGACGCCAAATTCCATTAATAAGTTTTCAACTAAAAATATGGGTCCAGACACTCATGTGGAGAGGAACGCTTTGCATTTTTATTTGAAAAATTGTTAAAACATTTCTTACAAAAGCTTTTTAATTTTTGTTTGTGATAGTTGGGATTTGTCGGTATATTGTGTATAGCGTATGAGTGGTTAAAATAAATAAATATGGCTTGAATAGTCGTGATGCAACAAAAAAAGAAAACAGGCAACCATTGTACAGCGATAATTTAAAATTCTCGCATCCGTTTTGTTTTTCGAATAAAGTAGATTTGTCTTTGGTTGGTATTTTGAATAAAAATTTGTGTCAAATTAAGTCAGACATGTTTTTGTTTGTATGAAACAAGGAATAATTGCATTTTTGAAAGCGTAATTCAACAAACATTGCCTGAGCAATTTTGATTTTAAATTATGTACCCTAGACGTAATTTAATTTGAATACGATTAAATATCAGCGTCGTCGAAGCATTTAACTAGTTTTATCAAATTATTTATACTTTCAATCCGTAACAAAACGTGATGCAGTTTTATTAAAATTAACAGTGTTGTAAAATTAGTTACGTGTTTGCAGCGAGCTGATGATCAAAGTTCATAAGCAACCCCTCATATTGTATTCTGTAACGGTAAGTTAAATAAGGTAATCTTCCTGGGTAATAACAATAGGGTTAGAGACGCCAGTGGAAGAGTCTGTCTAAATTTATTCTTGTACTTGTCGAAAAAACTAATAAAGAATATTAGAAAAAGTTTCGGACTTTACACTTCAGGAGTGAGTAATGTGGCAAGGGAATTGGTGTTGTTTTGACAATATTTTTCATATTTCACAGTTTTTAAGACAGTTTATCATTTCTATACTGGTGTAAAAGCTGTAGAGCTGTTGTGTTAAAAATAATTTATGTGTTTTGTAGATGTGTAAATTTTTTAAGGTGGTCGTTGCGGTGAAAGTTCACAATTGTATATAACATTCAAATTATATTTTCAGAAAACTTGCTACAAACATTTTATTTGACTTAATTTCAAACAAGTAACGATTAATCTTTTCGTGTGATTATTATCCTTTTAAACAGAGGAGTGCAGCCCATAATAGACAAGAGGGAAATTAATAGGAATACTGCCAAGAACAGAATTAGAAAATTGATATATCGTTAGATGAAACTTTCGGCAATGTATTGTAAAATCCATTTGAAATATTTGTTCCACGACTGTTCTAAATCCCTCCCATTTTAATTAAATTTTCGATAAATGCGGTGCAATATAATTTGCCGGTGAATTCGTAAAGTGCAACTATTTTAAAAATTACGGCTATTAATTGGCTCCGTAATGCAATTGATCACTGCACTAAATAATGTTCTAGGCGATAAAAATAAAGGTTAAGGTTATGCACGTGTTTGGCTTTATTAAAAAAAAAAGTGAAGTCGAATCAAATTGAAAATAATTAATTGTGACTGCAACGCAACTTTATTAACGAGATGTTTATAAAATTGTTGTCAATAAAAAACTGTAACAGTGATATTTTTCTCTGATAAAGTTTCGGATAAATATTCCTGGAAAACGATGCAGGGTGGAATAATTACGCCGATGAAAATAAAACGAAGTAAATTTTTAACGTACTTTGCAATTCACTTTGTGGCACTTGTGAAAATCAACTATTCGTAACAATTAATCAGATGAAATTTCGCAGTTTGTCTTAGTCTCGAGCTGTCATCTCCTATTATTGCATTGTCTGCATTGATGTTTAATTATAAGCCGCCAATTTCAGAGTGTTTGAATAAAATCGAATGCTTTGACATGTCTCGTTGTTATTTTTTCGTCTACGATATCACGGAACTCTGGAACAAAGCTAATGAGAAGAAAATTGTCGCTGTTTGGTGATGTTATTCGATCCCGTTCTCGATTATTTCGTGCTCTGATTTATCTTATTGGAAGAAATCAGCTCAAGGTTCCTTTTTTCGAGACTTTTCAAACAAGTTACGAGAAATATAATAACAACACAATTATACGAGTAAATGATGAAGTTGGAAATAAATTGCAAACACGACTCTTCATTACTGATTAATCTTTGAGGTATACCTCAACAAACTTGTGATATTTTTCTCAAAATCAAGTTGTAAATTAGTTTGATTTAGGGGTTTAAAAATTGGAAAGCGTTGGTTGCTCTACAGGGGATAACTTCGCCGGTTGTTATTGTCGCATGCAGCAGACACGTTATTTTATTGTCCCAAGATAGTTTTAACACAACACGAGATAATTTTACAAAAGCTCCACTTGTAAACTTTACACAAATTACGGTTATCACAAAGCGTTAAAACACTAAATGGTAATTATTGTTTTACTCACTAACCAGAAAAATAAGCTTTTGTGTGTGAAGTTTACGATGCTCAACCGTCTGATCATTTTGCCGCCGTGACCGGAACATTAATCATCTCCGACACTTTTTAATTTTGCTCTTATCTTTTTAAAGTGTTTCCTAGAGCAGCTTTTATGCAACGAGTGCAAAAACTGATCGTAGGAACGAATAACTTACTTCTCTTTCCACGAACCAATTTGATTGTAGTCGTATTTTCCATCTTCGTGTCTTTGATACTGGTAGATGTTGTAGCTACCATACGCGTCGCCATCTTGGTTGAATCTAATTTCAGTTTTTTGCCGACCTGTGAAAAATGTAATTTGAAAAAACGGCTTGAAAGTAGCCTCACAATTCATTCTAAACAAAATGAAAAGTTATATTTATATACATTTCCGGTGGAAAGTTTTTAATAAAGTGAAAAGTAATAATGATAAAATTTCGTACAATGAAACAGGAAATTAAAAGTGAATTTCTAACAAGCAAGAAAATAAAAAAGATCTTTCGTTGTTTACCACAGGTGGGTTTTTAAAATAAAAAACATCTTCATATTTAAATAAAGTAAGTTTGTGATCAGATTTTCTTTAATCTACATAAAATATGCATCAATTAATTGTATAAGTAGTTCTGTTTGGCAGGTATTCTCCCGAAACCGCGAATCCAGCCTAATTCCAATAAATTCCGTTAATTTTCGGCTTTAATTTAAATTAGGCGAACTTTGACTTATTGGACTTCCGCTTCGCGTTATACTTCGTACCTTGAAATTGCTTGATCTAATCTTGGAATAAATAAATTTTAACTTTGTTTGAAAAAACTGAAAGAGTGAAACGTTTACGTACCTATAAACGAGACATTTCTTAAGTACTTTAAAAGTTGTATTCCTAAAGGGGCAGGTTTGAGCTTGTCGCACAAATAAAAGGGATCAGTTCCACATTCGTCGACGATGATATTATGAATGGCATGAGCGGCGGCGTACACTGCATCAACTAGAACAGAAAATAAAATGGACACACCCTAAGCTAGCTAATTATTCCTAAGGGCATCACGTTCTCTTTATTTATTTATCTGGGTTTTCATTGCAAATTAGTTTAACCATAAAGCTGGATTTACAAAAATCCTTTGAACCCTTTGCCATGACAACGGACTCTCTCCATTAATTTCGCTATTTAAACGGAATCATTTTTACAAATGTTTCAAAGTCAAAATGCTTCCCACATACTAAATTGATAATGCTGTAATTTGTACACTTATATTCAAAAATAACAAGCTAAAAGCAAAATTACACAAATTTTTAGTCTCTAAAGGCTCTAATTGAAGTAATGTTGCTATAATTTTTACTGAAGAAAAGTTACCTTTTGTATTCAATTAACGTAAAGTTTTCTAAAGTGTGAAAAGCGACTCTCTCGAGACACTTGAAAGACAACCACTGAGAAAATGAATTTCACTAGCGTTTGTACGAATTTATGCTTCTTGTCTAAGAAAAAAGTATTTGTGGTCTTTGAAAGGACTAACTCAGGCGTCTTTTTTAAATACAGTTTAATAGTAAAAGAATTATTTGGTTTATAAATAAATGTTAATTTACCGACTCGTGCAAAGGAACTTAAGACTCTTCAAAGTGAAATGTGCAGCAGGTTTTTTCTCATATCAGCTACGTAACTGAGCATACGTCAATTTTTTTACAAATCTTGGAATAGTTTCCTGATTTAAAAATCCACTCTATTGTAGAAGATTTTTGTATGAAATCCTAACGAGTCATTTTCACCCAATATAAGAAACAAAAGATGTAATGAAAAGTAAGATAATTAAAGTATATATTTGTGTCACATTTGTAATGATTAGAAAAATTTACGAACAAAAAGATTCAACGGTTTGAATTAATTTTATGTCAGTTTAAAATTAGTAGCATTAAGCTTATAAAATAGCCTTGCTTAGAACAAACCTTCAAAGAAAACGATAATGAAAGGACGGGTAGAACATAAAACCGTCTTTAATGAAATTTCACAGAGAGTAAAAAATGCAGTTTTAGAGAAATTATATTGTTTAATGTTTAAATTGGAGAAATTGAAAAACGACAATTCGACGCAGATAAAGTTTAATTTGGTCAATAAAAACTGTGAGATGACAAATTGGCTCGTGTGTACAAAAAGATTAAGTATAAATTAAGAGTGTCGTCAACCTGAAGTAATTCAATATTGATATTTGAGCGAATAAATTTAAGGTAGTTTCGCTGTGAAAGCGCTGAAAAATACGTGACTTACTTAAAAGTTAATTAAATTTATTGGCTAATTAACTAAATCCTAACAAGCGACTCGGCAAAGATGAACAGATTAAAATACTCCCAAATGAAAAAGCTACAAATTTAAATTTCAAAATCTGGATGGGCTTTCATAGTTAGAAAAATTGTATTCGTTTTTATAAAGTAAAACATCCGCAACAGATGCCATCGACTTCTAAAAAATCTCCAGGACATGAGCACTTGAGTTCTCCAAATCGGTCATTGGTGTAACATAACATCTTAACCGATCCACTTCTCTGGCTTGGGTTCGCTTTGATTTGTAAGAAGATCGGTTTAACCATTCTCAAGACATCAACTTTTCTTTTTATATCTGACAGAATCCGAATTGTTATTAAGTTTGTGAAAGCTTCGAAATTTCAACTTTTGAAGAGACAAAACAATTTGTACATGGAAAAGACAGTTGGATATATTCAGTCAAACAAGTCGTTAAAATTCATAATGCTTCAATTACGACTCAAAGGAATTGGATTAAACGCATATAACGGTTTTAACCTGAAATATTACTGAACACCTTTGATACTGGCTTCAATAATTCGACAACCGACAAATTAATAAAGCTCTGATCAGAAAACGAGCTTAAATAACGCAGTGATCAAAGCTTTACGATTTTGAGTTATTCAAGCTTGCTGTCTCTCCTGTTTTTTATGAATAACAAGAGCGTTAAACCACCGGTCTAATTAACCGACTTACTTTTAATAAATTTTATTTCAAATATATATTTTCATTTGTGCTAAGTCATATTTCAGTAGCTAAAAGTAGCGAAAAGCGTTTTGATAATTCGTTTCTAACAAGTTTTGAAAAAATAATGAAATAGAGTAATGAGTTTTCAACTGTTGAACGAGATCGAGTTCTATTCAGCTGACACAGAAATGTTCAAGGCTTCTATTCCAATTGAATTGAAATTTTTTCGTGTTGAATTTTTTTGCAACTGTATTTGATTATATTATTCCGTCCATGTATGATCTTTAATTGGAGTAAAACCCTCGTAATCTTATTACTTTGTGTGTCAAATAATCGAATTTACTGTGTTAGCTAATCTAATTTCAATTGGGAAATGACATTTTGTCAGACATGTATAAAATTTTGATCGAGTGTTAAAAAACAATTCTTTCAAAGATTTGTTCGAAAAAAGCTTGTTTATGTCAGGGCTAAAGCTGATTAAGCTTTTGCTTGAAAAATCTGAAATCGCGTTGTTCCGTTGATTCACCAGGAGATCGCTTATTTTATGGTCGTATTTTTAGGGCTATAATCCCTCTTGCGATTAAAGTGAGATATTGAGTATAGGAAGAAACACTGACGCTGTGTTATATTTGACCACAATATTGATAGTTTCTAAACTAACTACATCGTCACCTTTTAGTAGTAAATCTCGGTGTTGTTGCCCCAAACTAGGTGTAAATCACCTGAACTCATATACTGTTGGCCTTAAATTATCGACAGAATACTCTCAAAACCGCTTTGTAATAATACCCAATTTTTCTATATCGAAAGCTTGAGCTTTAAAACTCGCCAAACCAGTTAATATATGAATAATTGATATGTCTGCTGTATTAGTTGATTGTAAAAGTTGGTTAGCCTCGTGAAAGCAGATATAATGCTTTTGGGGTGAAAACATATACGGATATCTGAATTATTTCCTGTGCCTCGCTGTCAAAAAAAGTATTTTGTCGTTTGCCCGATCGTAATAAATTTGAGGATGCGTTTCTGGGATTTTCGCTTGGTATCAGCTGAAAATATGATACATAACCAAGCTGAAATTTTGATTTTTGCCTTCAGCAATATATTGTCAGGAAAATGTCGTTTAAAGTTGATGTTTGTGTTTTAAAATTAAACGTGAAGTTTTGAGGTGATATTAATCTGTCATTGTTTGGAATAACAAGAAAAAATGATGGAAAAGTTTTAAATGAGAAATCAATATTTTCGTACAATGAGATGGTTTATCAAAGTGCCTTCGGTTTGTTTCGAGCTAATGAACTTTAGTTATATTTAAATTACCCCACGTTCTCTTGCGTCAATTTTATAATTTCTTGCAGTTCATTTATGTATAAATAGCTGTAGGGAGAATAAATATCAACACAGATGCGTAAATGAAACCTAGTCCAGATAGAGCCTTTTCAGGGTTTTCACGCTCCATCTTGAATGAAATGAAAAAATTACACTTTTTACTTGTTTACCCTGTATTGCAAGCGCATAACATCAACTTTAACTCTATAGTTACGCCACAATTGTAAATTGGCCATCAATAAAGTAGTTAAAACTCGTTTTTATTCACTTTGTGTCAAATAATTGCAGTTTTTCCAAAAAGTTAAAATTAGTTTGGTTTCATGGCAATTGGTTAACCAATCAGGAGTTTAAGTTGAAATGCCTGAGGATGTTCCTAACAGATGCGGCAATCGAAGCTGACCACCGCTGCCTTGTAATTTCATTTCCCTACAATAACAAGATGGATAACTTGCATAAATCATCAGATTTCATACTACCATTTAATTACAAAGCGGGTAGGTTGGAAGTTTTTATTTCCAAATGATTCCAACTCAATTAAAGTTGCCCAATAAAATGACAACCTTTAATTAAACCAGTTTATGACTTTATTAGAGCCTATAAAATTGGTAAATCTGAGCCCAGTTAAATTAAACATGAACTACGTATCACTATTTACAATTTTTTACTTTGATTTTATCGATTTTTTATTTATCATTTGGATGTTTACAATTCCTAAAACTGAATCATGTTTAAATATTCCAACTGTATCGATACATTACTTTCAAAGGAAATTTTTCCATCGATTTGAGCATAATGTACATTCGCAACGCTTTTCTCCTAGACATAAAATGCCGGAAAAACTTACACAAAAAGCACATAAAGCCATTCAACAAAAATACGTCGTAGATTTAAAGTCTTTTCCAATAACACAGCAGACAATTAACTTTAACAAGTCACAAAAATATTTTATTGGCCATTGTTAAAAAATTCTCACCAAACCTATGGATTTGTATCAAGATGGGACTTTTCAGTGAAATTAAAATGTATCCTTCGGGAACAAAGCTTGCATGGATATAAGATTTAGGTTTCAATTTATAGGTGATGAGTCCGTCACACGGTTTCTAGATGATTTTTCTGGAGTAAGTCATAGTAAAAGTGTTGACATCCTATTTACAGAAGCTCGTCATATTTGGATGAGTTAATAATATTGAACAATTGTTGTCCTTTTCTTTCGGTCGTCCGCCCCCGGCATGTATTGTGGTGACATTTTAATTATGCTGTTTCAATGTGGCACAACCATAGAAATGCCAACCGAAATTTAAACTACCTTTAGCAACGCATCGCTGTACCCGTCATCAATTAAAAGCCCAAGTACTAATTAAAGTCTGAAACTATTCAAATATATGCAAGTTTTACTTATTTTCGAGTTAAATGAAACTAAATGTTTAATATAAAAACAATTTACAAAGCGTAACATTTGATTTACATTAATTTATAATACAGTGCCTCGTTGAGTTTACCTTTGCAACAAACCGAAACTTGAAACTGGACCAGCATCTGAATTTCAATCAAATTTATTATGTATATGCAATATAACAAATATATAACTTCGAAAAAAGAGTTTCTAATATTTTAAACAAAACTGAAGTAAGTGACTGCATAATTTTTAGATATTTTTAAAATTGTACATAACACTTTTGAAAAGAAAATATTGCTTTAAACTTAATATAAATTTAAACACAAATTTGCAGTAACATATGCTTTTGTTTGTCTTTATTGAAACAAATTATGTAAAGTTAATATCACATAAATCAGGTTTTTTGAGATTTCGTTAAGGTGAACTCTAATTTTTTTGTCTTTGTTATAAAATTTCAAAAATTTAATTAGAAAGTTTGTTAAAATTGCAATAACATATTATTAAACTGAATTGTACTTCTTTTCTGTTTTTTGTTTATAGATTCGAGCTTTTCTTTGTAATTCAGAACCAATGTGCCAGTATGAGACAATTATTTTTCCATTAAGTATAAGCTTCTGGTGCGTTTGAAATTGTGGTTATGTTGTAAGATTGATTAGTGTGGAAGAGGACACATAATAAAGGTATTATAGGCCTTGCGATAAGCCTTACGCGGGCATACAAATGGTGTGTCATTAGATACTTCATGACAACCAACTTACATATCTTAAAGGATTACATAGTGTAGAGTAAGCGTCTTACAATAGTGTAATTGCCTGCTTATTACCCTTATTAGAGGGGACGGTTAGCGCCGTATGTAAATGATTTAATTACCGAATTTAATTAATATGTGAGATTATTGTATTATGGAAAGTGGAACAGGCGTTCCTTGACATGTTAAGTACTTCATACATTAACATAATAGTGTATTGATTCATTCCCCCTTGTCAAATTACAACGGAAGTTACCTTTAATTTACATCTCAACCATTTACTGCTCAAACATCTACAACATCTAATCCCGAAAAGCGGACGTTTACTTAGAAACATGCTTCTGTTATTATTAGACTAGATCTCTATTTTCTTAATTTTATTCGGTATCCAAATCTATTATTTTAAGCAAATTAAATACTCACATCAGAATTTAAGATAAAGATACGAACATTATTACTCAAATTTGTAACCATAACTATAAATTAAAGTTTACTCCTAATTCAGTTACAAAACTGTACTGTTCTGAAACTAACTTTACACCTCGTGCCGGTTTTGGACAAACAAATGTGCCGCTAGCTAGTTTGAACATGGCAAAAGCTTGTAACATTTACGCAATGTACAGTTGTCGTGTTTTAGCACTCCTAACACAAGATTGATAAACCTTGTGAAACTTGTGAAAAATATTACAAGTCGCTTGGACTTCGCAGGCTTATATCAAGGAGTCGAATTTCCCTGCGTTATGCAGATTTGACCGAAACTTGCAGGAGCTCTGCGATTAACAAGTAAGATTTCGTCTTGATGGCCATAATTCCAACTTAAAATTTAACTCGAGATTTGAATCTTGAGTAGGTATATAGTTAGAAAGTCTAAAAAGCGAATTCCGCTTTGGAAGCAATTTTCTAGATATTAAGACGAATTCGGCGATAAAATGAATGTAAAAACTGCAACGTACTAAATTTCTCTTTGAAAAAAAAAATTATTCTTACCCACGAATGGCACTAGACCTTCTTGTTCATAATCCGATATAGTTTCTTCTCCTGTGCATTTCCGGTCAGTGTTATCGAAACTGCACTTGTTGTGTTGACTCCAAAACTCGCGAAACCATCCGTTGCGACAGTTGATAACTAGCTCGGGTTTTGTGGGATGAGGCAAGTTGGAGTCTATGGTTGAGTTGCACCCATCTCCTTCCATTCGTGGCCTCAGTGACATGTAATAATCGTCGAATTCTGCAAAAATTTTATTGTATCAATTCGCTTACTCGCTCATTCGCTTATTCGCATGAAAGCTTAGTGCTCTCACGTTGTTAGTAGCTTTCGAAACTTCTACATTCTAATCATGAAGTTGCAAACTTTCCTGCAACCGAGCACAGATGATTTATTGCTCGCCCAGTGCTGTAAATTATTGTCAGACTGTCAAATGTTTATGGTCACTAATAGATCACACTGCTGCAAAACGTTTCGAGTGAGAATTTGGGTGCGAGTTCGATAAGCTTCAAATTAATAATGAAGCTCACCCATGAATTATTTTGCCATTATTTTGTCACGTTTCATTGGTTTTATATATTTATTTACCAGTCCGTAATCTGACCGTACTTAATAAAAAAAAAAATTCATCAGCAATGAGATTTTAAGAAGAAACCACTTTATATGAAACGATATCTGAAAAAGTATACACAATTTGAAAAATTTACATTTTATATCAGATGTAATCTCAAAAGAGAAATGCCAGCACGGATTGTATAAAGACAGAAAAATATTTTTGTCAAAAACGTATTGACGTGATTTTTGTACCATTCGAAAGCTTATCTTTTGTAGATTTTGATAAATACCAAATTAACGATAAATTGTTATTGATTTCAAGTTTTAAAATTATGCTTCTTTCAAATCCAGGGTTCAGGTTCGAATTTGAGCATCCTGATTTCCGACTAATTCGTGAGGATTTGAGAAGTATCTCGCGTTTTGTACTAACAGTTTTATTAACAATAGAGTATGTGCTGAAACTAAAGTCTGCGCTTCATTAATTTCAACTACCGTGCCAGTTTTTATTTGCTTTATTTGTACGGAATTTTTCATATATAAAGCTGAAATAGATGAATCGCGAATCAAAAATCAAAATAAGCAAATCAGAGAACATTTTTACCCACAGTGGTCGTAAATTCTAGGAGTACTATTATTCAATACTTTATTATTTTAAAACACTATTTGAAAAACAATAAGTGGTTTCAAAATTTTTAGTGTTATTTCAACATAAAATAATTTGTATTTTATTATTTGTATATTTGTTCTATAGACTAGAGAAATTGTATAAAAAGACGTTAAATGACGTTTACAGAAAATTAAGCCAAAATAGGTTGAAATATATTTTATTGAATTAAATAAAATGTCTTTCAAATCTTATTGCTTTCGATTTTTGTAAATTTAAGGTAGCTATGTTACAGAACGCGTGAGTGGTAAATATTTCACTGTTTACACAGTGCCGTACAAAATTACTTTATAGTAATAAAAATCTCCGAAAAATCAACTTATTGAAATAATTTTTTCTTAAATGTTTCTGTCACTGAAAAACTAAAAATCCAACAGAAATAAAACAAAATCACTAAAACTTAATACGAGGAGAGTGAGATTCAGTTCATAAATTATAACTTTTTTATTCACTATTCTTATAAAATCGGATATTCTTACAGTGGAAGGAGTCAAAGGAAAACTCTTGTACTGATGTAAAACTCTTGTTATTATTTGATACATATAAATAAGTCAACAAAGTAGTAACAAAGCTGCTTACGTAGAAAATATGAAAAAGCAAGCTCATTTATGTGGAATTAGATATATATTTATAAACTCTTTGAAAAACTAACCAAAAAATATTTTAAAAGCCAAACACAAAGAGAATATTGTTGAATATAAATGCAAACTGGAAAGTCTGTCTCAAGAATGGTTTTTGGTGGAATGAAAATTGTATTTCTGGAAAACGAGAAAATTGGTTTTCGTAGTAAATTAAACGTTTGTTGATGCCTTTTAGTCGTAATATAGCGACATTTTTTGTCAGTTGTTTTAATAAAATTTGAGTAAAATGAAATATGAGTGCAGGAAACCCCACTTTACAAAATTTTTAATTTGCCAAGACTTCAAGTGGAGGGTTTTTGGTCGTCATTTTTTAGAATTAAGCATTTCATGATTGAAATTTTAAGAGGCATCATTTAACATCCTTAAAATGTATAACTGTTATAATTGGAGTACTCGCTTTGTATGTAAATTGCATTAGCTCAGATGCACTTGAAACATTCTTCGGCTTGTGGCTTCGTTACGATGCAAACTCTAAACCAACAAATTAAAGACGGAATAAACTTAAACTGTTGTTGGCCAGTGCGGCTTGATTGACCTGATTACGTCGAACAAATTAAAGAATTTACAGCCAGTGCTAACGTGAAAAATATCTCCATGGCCGTATATCTGCATCGGCTTACAAAGTTGTTAAACCGAACGTGTTTACTATAGCCAAGTTAACGTTCTTGTTAATACATTTTATCTAAAGTTGTGGATTATTTGCACGTCTATTGGTGTCACAGTTACTTCAAAATCTACCGAAAATTTAGAGTCAGTTTAGAGAAGGCGAATTAAAAATGAATTCGTTGTTAAAAGTTAATGCGCGATTAACCGGAATCTGAGCATCTGGTTGGTTCAATTTGGCCATGTGATCAGTTGATCTTAGGTTTTATTTCAATTAACTTAATTACGCTTCTATAAACCGAACCTAAGTGTCCAACCTTGAAAAAATTGCAAACGTTACATCACACAGACACACTTATTAAAATTACTTCATGTTTAATGTATTGAATTTCCTCGTGACAAAAACACTCAAATATTTTATCGCACGAAATTCAAGCGTGCTGCCAGATTTCAATACAGAGAAGCCTTTAATTGCCCCCAAGGTACATTCTTCAAACTGAAATATGGGCTCCCGACCGCTGTTGGCCCATATATTACGAAAACTTGCTGACTCTCTTCTATCGTATTTTCACGTTTATGAAAGCCTATTTCAGATTTACATACATTGCTCTGTTTGATTATTATATTTGAGGGGTGCTTGCGTTTTGGTTTTTATTATATTATCACACAAGTGCAAAATGGAAAAGCATTAAAGATGTTCGTTAATATTTGAAATAGCATCAAGGCTTTTAGTGTAATTGAAAAGAAGTTTCTCAAAATTATTTCCTAGAGCATTGAATAAATGAAATATGCTTTTCTTGTAAACGTAGACTTATTGATGTTTTGATAAATTTATACTCGGAATAAATATCGTTGCGCCAGAAAAGAACTAGCAAAACAACCGATTTTATACTACTATAAAACCACTATATCAAAGTTTTATGACTTTTTTCTTTAATTCTCTTTAAATTTTTGAGGAAACGTTCATACTAATAAACTAACAGAAGTTAAGATTAAATGTCACAAAATTTCTTAATGAATGAATTTGCCCTGCAGATCTGCAATGTTGTAGTAGTGACAGAATCTTTCGTTGAAATGTAAGATTTTCTCAGATGTGCCCACGTAGATGGTAAGAAATTCTGTCGAGTCTTATTGTATTCAAAACTGGCATGTAGCCGACACAATGAAATAATTATCCTGCCTCGGAGCTTTTATTTCAGAAAAGATTAGGTTATCGATGCATAATATAATAGAATAATGACATCCTTTATTCGTTGAAATGAAAGCAGTTAATATTTAGTAATAATATGATGTGCTGGTAGAATAAATAGAGATTTTGTTGTATTTTTTTCATTTTTGACATGAGGATTTATTTGGTTGAGCTATCTGTCTTAGAAATATACATGGTGGGCATAAATAATGGAGTGGTGCGTATAAAATGCTTATCCTTGTCCCTGCAGCGGTTGAGGTAATCGTGTGGCTGTCAAAGCCGCAATTCTGTCATTTTGCCCCGAAGGCCTCCTCCCACTTGACATTTCCCAAAAGTGATGGCTATTTTATTGTACGCTTAGTGAACGATTATTCGAATACAGAATGAACAGCTCTAAGTCGAGTTGAGTTTGACGAAATGTCAAGGGAGACAAATCCCTGTCGTGTCAAATAACTGGATTTAATGAAACTGGTATAGAATTAAAGATGTCGCAACGTTAAAACATATGTTATTAGATCCTAGAGCAAAAACGTAAAAATTCGTTCAGAGAGAGACTCAATAGAGAGTCGAGATATCCGGCTATAGATACGTGGATGTCTGAATTTTAAGCTTGCAACAAAAACAGCTCAAACGAAAGTACAATCGTGACGAAACTTAATACGTTTCCATCCCAATATTTTTCGCCAAAATGTGATATGTCATTTCGTTATGTTTTTACGTTGTTCTGCTATCACCTCAGGACGTTTCTATAACGAGATCCCCTCAGAGATAACGACGCTTCAACATTTCAACTTATTACTTACACATTGTTAGGGTAAATTAATTTTGGACAGATTCGAGCTTTGCCTACCTTCTCTCTAAATTTCGCTTTTTTAAACCTCTCAGAAACCACCTTTAAGTACACTTCATGCCGCCCACACGCCGCCTATCCCATCAAACACACGCAAGAGTCGGTAAATTTCAATCAAAGACAGAAATGGACGCACCGCAACAATTTCACAAAGCTGTTCACAATTATAAAAATGACACTGATTTTTCAAACGTTCACCTAGGGCAAATATTACTTTTAAGCGTTTAATTTTAAAATAGAAATTACGAATTTGTGTGCAAAGTGTTTGCTCATAGAATTTGAAACATTAAAATTAATTAAAAAAGGTTTTTTTGTTTTTCATGTCAGTAAAGTTTATTTTGCTACCGGTAATGTTTGTGGAAGCAATTTAATCAGGCGACAAAATTATTTTTTCAAAGTGAAATTTTTATATTAGTGTTAATGTTTCAATTTAAAATTTATACAAGTGCTTTTGTTTTTCGAAAATTTAAGTGAAAACCTTAATTTGTGACAAAGTAGTATTCCGTAATGGATATTGCTGAAGCTATGAAATAAATACTTAGATCTCAATAAAACAAACCATTAAGCACGTCAGGTTTAATGTCAATAAAAAGTGAAAAGCTTAGTGTACCTATAATAAAAGTGTCATTCACTTCTTGAATGCTAGCTGTCAATGCACCATCCTGAATCCAGCAAAATACTGATAGCTCTAAAGTGTGTGAAATCAGAGTTAGTTCGTAAAATTCTATTTTGACATGAACAATTTTGTGAGCGACTATGTGGAATAAGCGCATTATCAACTTGAACTTATTGCTGTTTCTTATTCATTGATTTTCAAACAATTTTCTAGTTTCCTTAGTGACACTTCTAAAACTCGCCCCCTTCAACTTCTACTATTTCTCTTATCTTTCGCTCTTAGGCCGTGAAACTTTTAATAAAATACACCATTTCTACTGTCTATCAGACACGGCTGGAGTAAACTGAATCAAGCAAATCGTAATTGAATAAAAGCTGAATCCGCATGTTTCTCTCCTCGGATTCAGTCTACCGTTCACAGATAGGTCTCAACTTTTTTCGCGATTTTTCATTGGTGTCAACTTACATCATTTTTGTAATTATCATTCTTTCTCTACACTTGACACACCCACACTCTTTCTCAAGCAAAGAAGCAAATAATTGCTCAAAATGCTCGTTAAATAAATTGATCTTCAAAATTTCATAATACAGCGAAATTTAAAATAATTATCAATAAATAATAATTTTATATTAGCTTAGTCTATTAGCTACCAGGTTGAATCACTAAAAAAAATTTGAAAGTGAAAGTGTGGTTTAAATTAGAGTAAATTTAATTTTCAGGAGTTTGCCATTGCAATTTCACAAAATTTTATTGCTTTAAATATGTGTTTTTAGATTTTCTCTTTTCAATCAACACAATAAATAAACATTTTGTGTAAATTTTTAACATAGTTTGTGTTTTCATTTACATGTTTTCCTTGCGCAAATATAATAGTAATAAATTTCTTTATAAAACGGTTAATTTATTACAGCGAGTTTTCTGTTCTTAACTATTTTACAAATTAGAGAAATAAACAGAAAAAATAAAATAAAATAACAGTCTTTATTGAAACTGTTTTTAAAGTATTCAATAATGTTTTTCTTTTACTATTAACATTAATCTAACAAGAATAACCCACTTTAATTAAAAAAATTAAATTTATTAAACTTTTCTTAAAAAATCACACATCTGTAATTTCTAAAACCAAAAGTATCACAAATTACATTTTATTAAAGAAATTATTATAAGAAATAGAATTTTTTTCCAGAATTGCTTCTTGTGCATTCTCGGGTCATGTTCCTTGTTGTAGAATGGCAAAAAATAAGAAACTATTTGTCATTGTAGGATTAAAAATGTTTTGTGATTGGATGAAGACGTGGCCGTTGTCGTGCTAGGATGCAATTTATATAATACGACAACTTTTTCAATGTCCTCATAATTAGTTGTAGCTAAAGTGTAGGTAGCAATATTTTCTCATCAAATAAACCGATCAGCAAAATGTTTTCTAAATCGTAAATATTTTTTTGACTATTGAAATGGATCTAATTTATGACCGATCTTCAATTAATACGTTTATTGCGATACATACGTCCATTTAACCAAACTGAATAAAAAACAATTTAATTTTTTAATGACAAACATTAGTAATAATCCCCTGAGATACGATTTAAAAGAGACAACAATTATTTGTGGGTATTTAAAATGTTTTCACAGAGATTTTTATGTGAAATTCAGAATAATCAATATGAATGAAAAATTGTGAGTGTGAGGAACGAACTTCTGAGATTATGGTTTCTTATTAAGTCAACAAAAAGCTAATAAAAAGTGAAATGACGTTTTGGTTGAGTTAAATAAGTGAGCAAAGTCTTTGAGTAAGTGCACTTGCACAAGTACAATAAACTTATGAAAAGTCTGTTTTTCTAGATTTATGAAATTAGTTTTAAGTTCAGATATTTGAACTTCTGGGAAGATTAATTATCCAAATTACTTTTGGCCCTGTCAGAGGCACTCTTATAGAATGACGCATTCTACATTTAGTGCTTCAGCAGCAAGGCTTTTTTCAGCGATAGAACGTTGGAAAGCGTTTTTAGTTGTAGTAGAGGTAATAGTGTGAATGCGAGATCAAAGAGTTAATAAATGGTGGTGTTGCGAGTTATCGAAGTATTTGATCCGGGACCGTGACCGGTCTGTGTTCGTGTATAAATATAGCTTTTAGTACCTTGAATAGCATTCCTGTGGGGTAGGATGGTGATTGCTCCCTCAGCAGCGAACTCCTGGTCCCTGACGGGGTGTACTTTAGCTCCCCACGAATCACTACCGATCCAGAGGAAATGTCCTGTCTTATTCGCACGAATTGTTGCTTGCAGAAGCTTTCTAAAAGTATAAACAAATAGGCTGTTTCAACCAACTACACAAAAACCAACTATCCAAGCTTAAAATCAATAGCTTTTATTTAGCAAAAAACGCGATTTGAATATGCCATTTTCAACTTCCGAATGATGAGGCGCCATTACGACAAATGGATCAAATCCTGAGATTTTACAAATCACCCCTAACAACCGCAAGCAACCCAAATACATTAACAGAACAAAAATATATCCGGATTTGGAAGCTAAATCTTAATAAAATTGTGGCTTTAAAATTTTCAATTTGACTTTATGAAAATAGCTATAAAGTGTTTACAGTTTTGCATTCACTGCAAAACTTTTAATAATCGAAAGCAGAAGTCTTTGGAAAGTGTCTTTAAGAGTTTGGTGCTAAAATTTATCCGAGATTGAAAATTTTAATTTATTTTGGTGGTGTGTAGCGAAAACACATCTGAATCAATCTTGAAAACGCACAACGCCGCCTAAATTATTCAGACAAAAAACAAATTAAATTTTAAACAAAACGCAGAAATCGTTTTAGGCCTGGAAAGTGCAAATTTCAAGTTTTCTTTCAGTCCAATATCAAAGACGAGAAATACTGTGAAAAGTAATATACCATTTTGTTACAGTATTTTATGACTACAAGTAAAAATATCTTTACTTCTGTCGTTAAAATGATGTTAGACGTTTGTATGCTTTTTACCTCCAGCTTTCATTTTATTAAATGTTTATATGTTTTTCAATTTTGGCTTATATGAGTCGTTTTTCTACACTAAAAGAAAATATGGTAATATACATGAAATTTTAGTGTAGTATGTGGTAAAATCTCGCCGCTTTATTGTATCCACGAGCTTTGGATTTTTACACTTTGCTTCTGTCATATTTTTTATGATTAAAACTTAATTATCTTTGCGACAACAAATTTTTTATGTACAAATTGAATTATATTTATTTCAAAAAATATCTATCTCTGTACAAATTCATATTAATATGGAAAGTAATCCTCCAGCTGCCAACTCGAAAATAAAATCCCTGTTTTTAAGGTTTGCTATAAATCCTGAACATTTATCGCGTCTGAGTGACAGTTGAAGTTTATAAAGTATAACATTTTTTCGTACTGCATTTGTTTTACATTCCGAAACTGCAACTATTGCAAAATGTCGTCTCTAATTGCGATTTAATTTGGATTATGTATCATCCATTGTGGTGGTGACTCTATTATGGCTCTCAGCAATCAATTAAACAATTTTAAAGACCGCTTGGAACGTATATCAGCCATACCATACTAATCTAAATGTCATTTCACACATATCTCCACCAAATACTACATTCATTGTGATTAGATTGGCAGCATTATCAAGAAAAAAACTCCAAATTCTTCTTTACCAAACTTATGTTTGGAAATATACATTTTAATATTCATCGAGAAAAAAAAAGTTTAACACTCGATATACTCAATTTGAAAATGATATTAATCATTTTTTGCGTATTTGCAGGCTTTTAAAATAAAGTTTAAAATAATTAGAAAATTTGCAGGAAGCTTTATGGCAGAACGAGTGAAACTTTATTGATCAAAAAATTTCGTAGTAGGGGTGACTAAAATGTGGTTTTAATAGCCAAAGTTGCTTATGGAAAATTGAGAGAAAGAAGATATTGAAATAATATACTAATCTCTCTTAGACCAACGGAATAAATCCTGGAATTAGTAGGAATGTATCGGATTTCAGTAATGACCGATTTAGAAAAGCAGCAAAAACGTTATCGATTAGCAGAAGCGGTATTGTTCCTGTGGCTTAGAGCACTTATGTGCTTGTGTTTTCCATTGGACCGCATTAGATTGATTTAAAGTAAAATTTTTACGGTTTCAAAAATCTTACCTCGTGTTGTCCTCGTCGACGAAGAGGACGACTGCACGAGCCGTCTTTTGAAGAAGTCGATCTATAATTCTATCGAAGTCTTCGGTTTTAGAATTCCGGAGAATTTTTTCGGTTACTGCTATGCAGATTCCGGCATCGGCTGAATAAGATATAAAAGACGCTATCCCCTGTAATAATAAATTTCTTAGGATTCTATCTGCACATCTCAAGTTGGAGTGTCAAATGTAAAATACGTAATTTCTACTATCTACTATAAAAAATAAAACTTTATTTTCAGAATTTTTAATTGTGACCTGGTTAAAGTCCTCAGATCATCAACTTAAATCGAACAACCGATTTGTTACTTGATGTCAAGACCTTAATCTTGAAGTTTCGTCACGTAGAAAACGTTGTTTCCTTTAATTAGTTTTCATACGGTTCAACTGTTACATGTAAATTTATTTATACAATTTACTAGTCGAATATTTAACATTTTTCCAATTATGACAACCTTGATGTTTAATTTCTTCATCCCCTTTTCCTTAATTTACTTGACATTAACTTACCCTAAAGCCCCCAAGTGTTTTTCTTTTAATTAAACCCAACCCTCTCATCAACCAAATCATTCAAATTAATCCAGAAACTATGCTAAATTTAGATACAATCTCTATTTATGACCCTATTCTAGTAATAATGCTGAGATGCCTTCAATATCTGCATATTTGTTTCACTTGATCTTAGAACTTTTAACAAAAAAACAAAAATTTCTTACCTAAATTTAGCGTCAAATATCACAAAATCTATAAGACGGTAAAGTAATTCTTTAAAAAGGCAAAAGCTGTTCTTATACAAGAGATTTTTTGTGTAACCAATGTTCGATATTAAATTACGTGATTAATTTTAAAATCAAGTCGTGTACTGGCTCCTTACAGTTTTAAATTTAGCCATTGAAGTGAAATGTAGTCAATACGAAAGCTCTGGGATGTGGGTCATGCCTAGCAATGCAGTGCTTTACAAGTGGGAAAGAACTTAATTCAGTCAATGGATCATAACGTCGATAATTAAATAATTCCGCTCTAAGCACCAATCGAGCTTTTTGTCCGCCAAAGACATTAATTTTTTCTAATGGCAGTCGCGTATCAAAGTTATTTTTATCCCAATTTCACTGATGCGTGTCTGGAATACTTAAAATTCTGCTAGAAAACTTTGAGAAATTGAGAGAGTGCCGTAATAACAATCTGGCTAATTTATTTCACAGAGAGTTTATGTAAATGATCAAAATTAAAACAATTTTAAACGTAAAGGTAACACACACGTGGCATTATTATTTTAATGAATATGTATGAATGGGTTTAAAATATTAAAGCAGATTTTGGTTAAAAACTTTTTAATTAAAGTTGCCGAGCCGCCAATACGTATTAGCATTATCTTTTCTCAAAGATTATTTTTTTTACGTGATAGACGTTAGTTTCCCTTATATAAAGACAGCTTTCGTTACTTTACTATTCTTTTGACAAAAAAATTACACACCATTAAACTTGTATGAGGCTGGAGTAAGGTTAAGAAGTTATAATAAATTTAAGACTGAAAGTAAATGATCTTGTCTGTAGACGGATCTAATAAATGTACGCAAAATCTCCCCTTGGGAATAACATTTTGATTAAAATCTTGTATGAGGCATTTAATATTGTAGTGTTGCTTTATTTGGGAATAATAAAATTAAATATTCCCTTTTGGATGAAAATCACGGTGAAAGCTTATGGAATTTTGTTTGTATATATTTGTAATATGTATGATGTAAATTGAATTATTTACCATTTATAAGCTACGGAAAAATGCAAGAAAACAATACTGAGGCACGTGAAAACATTGCGAATTGTTTTTCCTCGTTGCAAAGATGAAAAAATTTCAATTAAGCTGCGCTATAAGATTGCATCGTTAAACATGATTTTACCTACTCTTGTTTACCGTGTAAGCTAACAAACGACAACTTTGAAACTAGAACTAGCTCAGTAAAATGATACTAGTATGTAAATAATGTAACAGTATGCGTGCACTAAAAGTTCGACTTGCAAATAAAATTAAAACCTTCATTTTCCCTTAGATAGAATTAGGTTTTTTAGTAAAAACCGTAACCACGTCCTAATTGTTTTTAAATAAGCCTTTTCAGATGTCTGTTTCATACATATTCAATTGGAAAGTCAAAACGTATATTTTTTGCGTAAAATCTGTTGAAATGTTCTATTATTTACATCCTAAAGGAAGACTTCATTCAAATAAAGTCAGATTTAATTCTTAGAAAACAGAATCCTGTCTTAGTAGTAAATCGTAAATCGGTGTTGAATTACTGTGACACTTGCAGTTTCTCGAGAATGTAACTGTAATCGATTTATGATGCTACCTCATTTGCAAGAGTCATCTGAAGCAGTCCTCTGGAGCAACTCGATACGTGAAGCTGTGTTAACAATGGAATTAATTCAACAAATCTCTCTGAATTTGCATAAAACCGATAGCTTCCAAAATAAATAATTTCTTTTGAATTCATTTCAGTGAATAGACAATAAACGTGATTAAATTCATGCAAATCATCGACGATAATCCAACAAATGCGCGAGTACATTTGTTTTAATTATGATTATCAAAAAGCAGAATAGTTATTTACGAAAAAGTGTGAGAATACACATTTTGCGCATGAGCGTATTATTAGAGCTACGAGCGACGAAGAGGTGAGTGCTTCAATTGCGCAAATACCTCTTCGCGCATGGAAGTTTCTACAATATTTATTAATAAAGTTCACTGTTACCAATAGTGAATAGTAGATGACGCTTACTCATGTTAATCAAATTACTCGTAATAGCGATTTATTTTCACTCTTTCAAAATTTTTAACACCAAAATTAGAGAAATAGTATTTTGTGAACTAGTCACATTATCTTCAAAATGCTCATTTTAAAAGTAGAGTTCAAAAACTATTTTCATTGCATAAGCAGTCAAATGAATCGCACATATTCCGAGTTAAAAACATGCGAATTGATTCATTGTTGCCGGTGAATAGTACAATCCCTGTACTGTTGTATTTGGTGTGTATTGTAGGAAATCGTTTATTTTTCGTGCGAATTTTCCGAGCAATGGTTTAAAACTTTTCCAGCTGTTCGATTATAGCTTATCAGTTCGTTCTATCATTTCCACAATTCGCTAACTTGGAAATAATCGAGTTTAATTAAATTTTTTTCGATGGATATGCGATCATTGAAATAAACACGGAAGCGCCACAATTAATGCCAAAATAAATCAACATAAATTGAAAAATAAAAAGAATCAAGTTTTTCTTACAACACAAAATGAACGATATATTTTCGATGCGAGAAGATTTATGGTATTTTTAGACTAGTTTTCTTTCCTTAAAATTATGGTTATTTTGTTGAATAGAGAGTAAAAACGAGGTTTATATTTAGCTAATTCCATTGCTTTCATGGTTATTTGGTATTCGTATAATAAATGCGTTTTGTTGTCGTTAAAAATAAAATCATTTTCATGCAATGATTTATGTACACATTTATAATTAGCCAACGCAGTTTAGGGTTAAAAAGGGAAATGATTTAAACACATTTTCAAATAGTTAACTAACCGGGAAACAGATAATGATTACATTTATTACGAGATTTGGACCAAACTCGATTAAATGAAAATAATTTAGAGTTACATTAATTATAACCTTGTCACTCGATTCTAAACTCAGTTTTGTTGATATGTATTACTATACTAGTATACTTTTTCTTTTACATTTTACCTTTTTATGTTTATATTGTTTAGTAAATACACTGAAATTATTAATTGATGTAATTAATTATTATTGAAACAAGAAACAATACAGCACTTAAAATTTTGTGTAGCGCAACATCTGAATGGTATGATTGCTGATCCTAATTTGGAGATGTTTGGAAGATCGGTATAGCAGTTCGTTAGTAATGTACGTCGCTGGAAGCGTTTGAGAATATCTATATCAGCATTCAAATTTGAATATAAACCCTGGACTTATTGTTTAAATTCTTAATTTTTCTAATATAATTAATTATTCAAAATTTGTTGTTCATTTTTTGTTAGGTAAGTGTATTTTATTAATACAAAATTTTTCTGAAAAGTAATTTTTGTGTTCGTAAGAACATTGTCCTTTTGTGATTTTATCTTAGATGTAATTCTGCATCATCGTTTTGGAAGCACCGTTTTGGGCGTTTGATTGTGATAATGTGAATTGTATTTGGAGTGGAAGCGATTGTCCTTGTGTACAAATTTAAATTTGTGAAATTGTTTCGGCAATAAACTGAGCAGTAAAATGTCGTTTCTAATAGAATTCACTTTGATATTATTGTACAATTAATTACGATTAATGGGAGCAAGAAACTTTCACAATAGAGTGTTAAGGATGTAAATTTAGAAGTGATTTTTTACCGTGACACAATATGCTTGGAGATAATTAAGTTAGTAAAAACAAAAAGTTTTGGGTCAGTGAAGAATTTAATTAGCGTGGAAAAGTTTGCTATTTTCTGGGAGCGAAAACATCGTCGTGTTTTAAATAAATCAGAATCATTTTTAAATATTTATATTTGGAAAATTTTCACAAAATCAGCATAATTTTAAACGGATTTTAAAGAACTGCCTGCTGGCAATTTTGACGTCAATTAAACTCGTAAAGTGGATTGCATAACAATGAGAGTGGTCGGCGCGGTTAAGGTCCCGTGACTTTTTCCCAACCGATTCTAAATCCGAATCCGTTGTGTATCTGCTTTGCTGCATATCTGCGTTTTCATCTGGCGTGCCGACGGATTTCAGATCCTTCCTTCTTATCCTTCTATATCGCTCCGTTTGCTTATCTTATTTCAACTAATTTAAGCCGGCTTTTCTATACCAAGAGCTTTTATTGATTCACTAAAATGATCGCCCACTCATCGCAAACACAAAGTCCACTCTTCATTCCAAAACACATTTTTCCACCGTAGTTTACAACCAAAACAAAGCAACGTCGAACATGCAAATTTATATTTACATATTTTTTACCATGGGAGCTATGGAACTAAAGCTTGCAGAGTTTTGTTGGTCAGCTCGGTTTGGACCTACGAAACCAAATTAACCAATCTAGTTTACGTCAACTAAATAATTTAGTAATTTCTTGGGCCAGTTTAGACATGAAGTAATTAATTTCTAAATAATCTATACGAAAGCAACCACATCATTGTGTTAAATTGAGAAGATGCTTACTAAACAACTCCCTCGAGTATAGATTGTTAATATCGTGAGTACTGTTCTATCCTAACCGTAACAAGATCAATATAGTGAGTTGAATTATAGCCTGTTTTAACATATTAAGTCAAAGATCAAAGAAATTTTCAGGTGATGATATTCGCAACTTTATGTAATTTGTTTAAAAATTCTATTTTAAAATTATTATTATGATGAATTGTCAAAAAAATTACGCAAAGTGTAAAAGTTGGTACAAGATTTGCAAATGCTGGGAGCTATGTTACAATTAGTAAACAAAAATAAAAAAACTAGATTTGGTGAGTCGTTTCTCTTTTCGATTAATTTTTGTAGTTGAAAAGCTTTATAATATATGAAAGCAAAATTTGCATTTATATTTAAACGAAGCAGATTTCTTGATATTTCAGCTTGTAAAAGAGCAAAACGTATATAAGTCTAAATTGTTATGTATGTAGTATTTTTAGTAACAAAAGTTAAATTGAAACTTGTCTGAAGTTGATATTTCGTAACATCATTTTATTCAATAAAGTTTTGTTTTAGCTACAAATTTTTTATAATCCTAGCACCAACTTCTTTAATATCGTCTTCGAGAGAAGTGAAAATTCTAATAAAATTTGAATAATGTAAAATGTAAATGGTGGGTCATTGAAGGATTCCTATAATACGCATTTTAAATCAATTTTGTAGTGGCATTTGGGGTGTTTGAGCCGTTTAATACCCTATGTTGGATACACGTCTTGTCTTTCGCTATTTAAATAGGACGGATACCTAAAATGCTTACGTGTGTTTAGGCGACACGTCTCGAAATAACATTATTTATGCGTTGAAATTTCCTTGTTGTACATACATAAGCGACATCGTATGTTGGAAGAAGTTGACACGAAATTTTATTATTATGATTTATTACCGCCCATCGCGGTCCTACTTAAGAATGCATTATTTTATTGCGGTAAAATTTTCTGGCCCGGCGCATCTCCCATTCCTCCTCTATACACTTAAATTCTCTTGTTTGTTTTATTTTCGCAGAAATTGGGTTTTTTCAGTTAGTTATTTGCGTTAGTGAGCGGTCACTTCAGTCCATTTCCGGTAGTTACGAGCCCATGCAATCTCATATAGGAAATAAGGGACCAATCGTTTGTTTCATTTCGAACCAAATTTTACACCAGTTTCGACTTCAATATTTTCAAACAAAAATATTGCACGACGATTTTATTATTTCTATATATTAGAGGTACCCACCATTAATTAATATTGGAAGTCGATTTTTAATCCCCAAGGCTTTAATAGGCTTTTTAAACCCATGCAGAAATTATCTAGAGTATTTAATATTCAATTACTAACACAGACTTATCGCCTTACGCAGTAATTAATGCGATAAGTGTTCTCTAACGTTAAAAGTTGTGCGCCATCTTTTGACAACTTTAACAGTGACGTTGTTAACTTAATAGCCAAACATAACGTAAATTTATGAGTCTAGTTAAAATAGGCATTGCTTTACTCATTTTCCTATTACTCATAATTGCATTTGTGATTGATATAAAGCCATAAACAACAAACCAACCTCAACTTCTCTAATTTTCCGAGACACATTTCTCACGATTTTACCTTTCGTGTTTCAGTCTCACAACTCTTAATTTCTTCCTAAAAGCTCTACCTAAAATATTACATCTAATCCTAATTTTATTCTTCTTAAAACATCGTTTCTTAACAAAAAAATGTTATTCAACATTACGAATTCATTGATATCAAGCAAAAATGTACAAAAATATTTCCCACTATGGTAGTGGATTACTGGATTGTTCGTTAAACTAAGTTTACTCAAAAACTAGCAAAAAAAGTAGCCACGATCGGTCAAATTGTTGTAAATTTTTATTCAAATAAAAATTTAAAATTGTGTAGGGCGTGTTTGATAGCTTTTTAAATTCGAAGTAATATTTTCCCGGAATATTTCGATTGAGAGTTATGTAGTTACGCTTAAAAATAAGCATAAATAAGCGAGTTAGATTAGATTGGATTGGAAAATACGGTTGTAAAACTTTACTTACTCTTTCTCCATAATCTCCTTCAACTGCCACTGTGGACACGTATTTCCAGCCCAATTCTTTGATGATTTCTACCATCGTTTGAGCTTGGAAATTATCAGGCGGCACAACTCTGCTGAAATATTCGAATCTCGACTTGTCGGACAATTCGGTACTGGTAGAGGCGTAACTGACTTGGGGGATCTGAAACATTTAGTAAACAACCCTCTTCACTAATTGTTCACTCAAGAAAACAAATTAAGGAAGTTACGTCCTCACAAAGAAATCCTATTTGCATAGCCCTCTAGTTATTTTACATGCCTTTGGTATAAGTTTTATGGCATTTTTTACTCTACGAGTTTTAAAGGCAATTCCTTGTTTGTTCAAGCTTCTTAACAGATATGAAATTTTATACGCATGTCGTACCAAGTTAAACCTTTACAAAGATACTTCAGAAAGCTTCATTGCACCTATTTACGCGCGTTTAAAAGATACCTCTCGCTGCATTGTGTTTGTAATTAGCTGCTCTCTGTTGATCAACACAGACCAATTAAAAGTATAATTAACTCTGCTTAATTTTACTCTGCCCAAATTTACATATTCAACTTACAAAATTTGCCGAAAGTTAAAACACATTTTTCACAAACATAATGTTTCCATTTCTCGACTCTTGAATATCGAGCTAAAAGTTTTGTAATTTTTTTAAACGAAATTGTTCTTTTAGTTGAAACTAAATTTAAAAACAAAAACACTGTTACAACACTAAAATATGTCACATGAACGAAAGAACACGAGGCAAATGCTGAGGAATTTTAGTAGATATTTGTATAAACTTGTTTTTCTCAGAAACTTCAAATGTTTTACAATGTTTTCATAAAATATTTGATTAATCCCCAATAGAGATAATCATGAAACAAACAACTTTTAAAATATCTTTTAACAATATAAATAATTACTACTCAGTACACAATGTAATAAATTGTTTATAGTTAAGACATTGCAATGTTTTGGTAAAAGTTTTTGTAAATAAACAGGAATTAGGAAGCTCATATTTTGCATAGGAAATTTGAATTTTTCAAGAGCAGAGTTTATCGTTTTAGAAGTGTCAGATTCGCGACTGAAATAAGTGCATCAGTAAAGAAATGTGTGAAACTTGAGCTGACCACTTTGATGCTTTTAGTGAGACGTATGGACGGTGAGGGAAAAATAAAAAATATAAATATACTCGGCCCAAAAGTAGAAAATACAATTTTTATCATTAACAACTATTTTAATATTTTTTGTTACTAAATTAAAGTATATTTTTGTTAAATAACAAATTTTCTCTTGAGTAATTTTACTATTTACGTTTGTAATAGAGAAAAAAAGAACAAGCAGATTTAATAAACCTGTCACAAGTTTATTCATTAAAACAAGAGAAATAGAGGAAGTTCGCTTGCAGCTTGTTCGAATAAGTTTCCGGATTTCTGTCTGGAAATTATTCGTATTAGAGGTAATGATCGGCAAGCTGTCATGTAAAATAAGGAAAATACCTAATTCTCCTTTTTACAGTATTCACACTAAATTAAAATGGTCTTTAATGCGACCCATGTTATTGTGGCTTTTATACCCTTATTTTTAGTGTCCACTTTAGGTGAGTGCTTTTAAGGCTTTCACAGATACCAACAATTATTATTTACAAAATATTTGCCAATATAAAAATTGAAAAGTCTGGAAGGACTTCAAAATATAATCAATTGAATGTGAACGCTAAAATCGATAAAATGCAATATTAAATATAGCGTTTCTTATGAAACTTTTATAAGTTTTAGTTTTTTTGCAAAAGTATAACAGATTGATGAACACTTATAAAAGCACTTCATATACTAGTCTGACTTGATTAGTTCATTTTAAGTTTATCTGCACAAATTTTATTATTCTTTAACATGATTGGCAACTATGTAACGTAATGGTTTTAACAAGTGACATTTATGTTTGTGAAAATGTTGGGGTACCATACAATACATTTCAATTTGTTTGTGTATATTTTGTGTTTAAAATAATAGACTCTTTTATTGTTTAACATAATGCCAAACAAAACTCAGCGTTACTAATTTATTTGTAAACAGAGCGTGTAGAAAAATTTTAATAAAAAAATGATGGATGCTCTGTAGTAATTATTACTTTGTAGCAAACGAGCTAAAACCATATATTTTTGGTGTAGATTGGGTCTTCCGGCTTAGCTCAAAATTTGTCGTGTGTAAACGCAGAATTTGAGAGGAATAAATAAATTTGAGAATAAATAAATACATACCTTAAATAACCGCAAGATATTTGCCACCATGATCGAAACCACGCTAAAAGAAGCCCCAATGACAGCTGTAACCGGTTTATGTGGCACATAGACTGGCGGCTTTCCAGACTCGCACTTATACTCCGACATGTCCTGGAAAAAGTGTCAATTTCAGAAATTGATACGATCAGAGAGAAAAAATTGTGTATTTCTTGGACAGCATAAATAATTTTATAGATATCGTCGTACTTGATTGTAGGTTTACGACGCTATTTATACTGAAAGCAGTAAATTTAACAGTTATATTTATTTTATATTTAGAACAAGGAGACAAATTGTTATCATTAAACGATAGACGAAAATGCAATTAATCAACGCAAAGCGATGCAAAATAAGCGTTTTTTTTAATAAATCATAAAATTTCACGACGTTCTAACACCTGAGTTCCGGGATCTAAGGTCGATTAATTTATAAGAAAAGACAAATGAGGTTTCACAAGTTTGTAAAACTTGTAGATTCAAGTTTGCAAATCCTATTTCATAATTTAATTTTGTAAAAGTGCTGACTTGACTTTTTCAAAATTATGAAAAGCAGATTTGTGTAAAAACTGTCGTCTAATCTTCACATCATAATTTCGTAAATTAGAGCTAGGACCGTTTCAGTTGCTTGTGAACTAGTGCAGCTAGTAAAGTTACGTTTTATGTCACCCTAATGGACTAAGCTTAATGATATTTCAACTTCTTGTTTTGCCTGTGCGCATAAAAGCCACCATTAACACTGGTAAAAACAACATTTTCAAACATCCCGTAAATAAACTTATTTCTTAACCGTTCCACCAACACTAAATTCTTATCATGAACAAACAACAACACGCTTAATTATGAAAATGAACCCCGGATTACAAAGGACACTGTATTTTCATCATCTAACAAGCAGGAATTTCCCTTTGTTGAAAAACTTAAAAGGACAAAAAACTCTTTTTACCTCCAATTTTACTTATACGCTTCACTTACTACGAGCCCGACCAAGAAAAAGGTTACACACGAGACATAATCTCATATTTTATCTTCAATCAGATTAAATAAACTTTTTAGGCAAAAATAAAGTCGCTTTTATTCAAAGTCAAACTTTTTCATCTTCACTCGTATATTTACTATAAAGCACTACATCTTAAATTATCATTTACAACACTCAGAATCAAATCATCAAGTGCACAAGTGCTCCAGAATGATTTAGCATAAATGTAACTAAAATAGAGTTTGTCTCGGCAAACTGTCAAGCCAAAATTAAACATTCTTATACATTAATTTGGATGCAACAAAAAATTAAAAACAATAGTTAAATTTAGTTTATTTACATCTTTACAACAAGTAAAAACTATGCCTTAATAAAAATTAATACAATTTAAAAGATTAAAAATGGTGGATGCGCCGGGATAACAACCGTTTATATTGAGGGCCTAAGTGCTGTCTGTTGTTTAATGTGTTTTATTTTAGATTCTAAATACAGAATATAAATCATTGTAAGCATCTTAAGATGGATGTATCCGTCGTCGATCACACTTCTCTTGACACTTGACCTTTGAAAGGATTGTTTTTGTTAAGATTCTCCGTCACGAATGATTTTTTATTGATGGTAATTTATTCAAATAATAAAATTATAATCAGGTAAAGCCTGACATTGCAGTACACAAACAAGAAATTGTCCGTGTATTTGCAGCCCAGGCACGCTCGAAATGTTTGGAAAACTAATTGGTATGCTATGACATTTGTTGACTGCAAGGATTACATAACAGTGGGAGACAGGAAGGACAGGACCGAAAGAGCATTGCATCACATAGTTTAAGGCAACCCCTCGAGTACCACTAAGACAGTTATATTGCTTCTCGTCGCTAAGAGCAATACTTCAATCTAAATTGTCGGCAAGTTCGGCTGATTTTGTTCAACTATTGACTCAGGATCGGTACGTTTTTATGTGTTTACAACGTTTACTCCCTTCTGGGATTTAAATACAGACTAATTTTAACAATATAAACGAGCACGACTTAATTGATTAAGTTTCGTTCACAATTTATATATTTTTTTAGAATATTACTTCAATAAAACTTCTACATTCTTTTCTACTCCAAAAAATTATTTCCTACATTTACAATTCAATTCCTGTACTCTGTTAAAATCAATTCCCATATATGCATACCAAAGAAACTTTGATAAAAGTGTTACTCACGAGATTTCAATTGCTTCCGTACAAAATAAATAATTTCAACTGAATCTCAGAAACGCAACAATTCAACGAATATTTTTGTTCTATTTAGACAGTGGGGTAAACACAATTTAAGATAAATCTGCCAGCAAGTGAAATAAAGTCCGTGTAATATAACAGGTTGAGCAGTTGTACTGTTGATGTTTGACAGTAGTTGGAGTTTTTGAGATATTAAGGATATTTTGTGAGTTTTGAGTACAACAGACTGTGAATTTGGAGTGAACGAGTGAGCTTCATAAATCATCTTTCTTGATGTGTTTGTTCGGACTGTAAACATAAGGCTAAATTCTCAGAGCTTTAAATCTCTCTACCTATCAACCCCGACAGGATTAATTACATTAGCTACGGTTTCTGTACAATGCCGGAAAATTAAACATGGATGGACATGGTCAAGGCTTTCCTAAAACGCTCACAATTTATGATCAATTACTTTTATTCAAATGAATAAACTTGGAAAAAAGAAATGCAACGGTATTGTGACGTTTGACGTATTTCATGAAGGATAAAAGCCACTCAAGGGAATACTATGCGAACATTCCTAATATATTATTCAAATAGTGCACATTTATCCAGAAAGTAGACACACGGAATCTAACACAAAGTGTTTATTCTACTAGTTTTTTACCATTTGGAATCACCTAACGTGATTTACTACTGAAAACTTTGATCATATTTACTCACATTTTACGTCTGCATTTTACACAGGATTTTCAAAGTGACTCTGTCCTTGCATTTATCGACTTTGAAACATTACAGATAATATCGATGACAAACATCGTTAACTTGCTTTTCTTATGTAAACATAAAGCTAACAAACCTTTAATTAATCTAGTATCAAACCGGTTTAAAAAGTGCTAAGTAAACCAATACATTCGTATAAATATACACATTTGTTAATTAAAATGGTGGATGCGCCGGGCAAAATTATAACTATTAAAATACTCCTCATTTATAAATACTGGATTAATACAATTTCACACAATACTGTTTATTAATTATTGGTATTGATTCTTTGGTTATAAAATGTGTAATATTAATAATAGAATTTTACTCTGATTATAAAATACTGAAAAACAGACAAAATCAATATTTAATTCAATAATTAATTTATTTTTAACAAAAAACATTGCCTGATTATTTATTAATTTATTTTGATATAAAGACTGGTTAAAAAACATAATACATATTTTATTGTTATAGTCGCATGAATTTAAGTACAATCTTGGAACAATGGTGGAAAAGCGAGATAGTAAAAATTTATTGCGGTTAAATTTTATTGTATTTTTGCCAGTAAATTTGATGTGCAGCGAGTGAAAGATGCATTAGATATAAAGAAACATTTAAATAAAAATGATCGGAGATGCCTCACGCCTCTGAATATATTCGGCCGAGACAATAAGAGATAGATAAGAGTGGGTGAGAAATATTTTATCTAAACGTTTCGATATGCAAATTCAAAACGATCGACCAAACAAACAGAACAAAGAAACGCTGACAATAAAAGAAACGTCCGGATAAAATGTAAGTAAGTGGTATTAAAGAAACAGAAGTTTGGTTGTGTTGTTCTAGTATCGCAATGAAATGATGCAAAGAAAACGCAATTGCGTCATTCATTAATAAATGTCGGTGTAGAAATTCGCATATCTGACCATACAAGCTTGTTTGGTCATGCAGTATTATCATCCATACAGAATATTCGCGTCATTAACTCGCCACACATGATGCTCATGACCCACTCGTTCCAGTAAAGCTAAGCCTTAATGGATTTCAGTCTCTAAAATATACAGATAAAACTGAAACTATTTCAGGTATAATTACACTTATTAATTCTAAATACAAATAACCAATATTGTGCTGTGAACGCTTCTAATTTGCTCTTAATAGAATTGCTGACAACTACAAATGAATGCCCGAATTAAAGGTCAACTTTGTTTTAATTAATCTTTGATTATAAATCTAGAAGACGCTTAATATTAAAACCACTAGACAATTGCTGAGGGAATATTTATTGCATTGATATATAGCCAATTGTTTCGCATGGCTCTCAGATTAGAAGGAAATGAGCCAAAATTTTGACTAATTTACATCTTTAAAAAAACACAAAAATAATTGAGAGACAGTGTTGGTTAAAACAGAAATTCAATTAAAGAGAAATTTAAATCCCTTTATGCAGCTTATTTGCACCTAGCTTCATCCGCTTCGTGCTGATGTCTACACGTACATTTACTTTGTTTTAATTGTAAATAATTTGCGTTAGATTCAAGATAGATGCGCCGAAACAGATTTCGAACGTTAACACAAACAAAGTATTTTTTCGTTCCGTTCTTGAACTAATTGTCTCAAAGTAAATATTTGCGATTGAAAGCATCAGAGAAAATTTGATACGTACTATTGATACATTTTCAGAGATAATGATAATATTTCTGTATAACAAAGCAAGTGTCAAGTTGTTTTAATGTATGGCTTAACTGTTCCGCTTAAGATTCAATATCAAAGTTCATTAATCTTGCATATAGTTCCGTCGCTTCTGTTTCAATCAAACTTGGAACAAAGTTCCACGAATCACGCATAATAAACACATTAACTACCTATACTTTATCAAATGAACAGGTATTTGAAGGCATTTTTACAGTCGCTTTATTACAGACTTTCTGAAACCTTCAATATAAGTTTGACGATGATTTATCGACATTTTTAATGATTCTTTTGCGCTGACGGAATCTCTTAACTGTATTTAAATGGGATGAAATAACCCAATGGAAATCATTTTTAATTGTACCTTTATTTTCAATACGCTTCAGACATTTCAAACGCAAATGTCAAAAAAAAACAAATGCACAAAAATGTTTTTGTTGATTCCAAGGTATAAATTAAATATGTAATTTCCTTTT